AATATAAATTGTGTAGGATAATATACAAGGTCTAAAACGTAATATGACAGCAAGTATAGTGCAATAAGTCAAGTGAAGTATTTACTTGTTTTAAAGCTTTGGAAAGCTTTGGTTATGAACCGTTAATAGACATACTTTTATTTATAATATTAGTTTCGATTAGATAATATAGAATAAATAATAGTAAATATATTACGCGGGTAATACTAGTATAAAAAAATATATGTAATAAATGTAGTAGTATTCATAAATGTAAAATTGTGAACAAACTCTCGAAGTTATCAATTATAAATATCGTGGAATGCGTTACAGATTGATTATTGTGTAACAATATTGATTGCATGACATGGAATGTTACTAACAAAAATAGTACAGTAGAATAGATACGCCCAAAGTGGTTATTTATTATCTCTACGGAAAACTAGACATAGGCAGAACCAACTGTGGTGTGTTTAAACAAACGCGTAACAAATAAATTGTATATTTATAATATTTTCTATAGTTAGTCCGGATATTTTATTTTATCTTAAGTGATAAAACTTACTAACAATTGCCTAATTGGACTCATTGTTATCTTTTAAAAACTAAAGCGCTAAACATGTCTTAATGAAATGTTGCGTGGAGTTAGATAATGATAAGACATGAGGTCGAAGTTATCTATTGTGTAAAGAAAAGCAAACGTGGACTACGTTATGCGAAAAAGCTAATCTAGAATAAATTATTTCAAGGAGTACCTAAACAAATCGTAGTCAGTAGGGTCGAAATCGTGAGCAAACTACTAATATAGTCCTGCATTCCCTAATTACTTTACCAAGTTATTGACTAACAATTTCGATCATTTGTTTCTAGGTAAACTATAACAACCATTAACAAAACAAACTGTTAACAGATACGAACTAACCAAGAGTAAAGTCAAAATAATCCTGGCATTTGTAAGTTCAGTAGCGGGTGGTTCTAGGGGGCGTTTCGTTTGTGGGGGGAAACTGGTGGTGGAGAGGTGCAGGGGGAGACTGTAGCCCCTGTAAGACGCGGCGTGAATGGCGGTAGCAAGGTCATGGGCGACGGAAGTGGGTTACGGGCGGCGCGGCGCCCTATCGACCGTGCCGCCCGCTACGCCGCGCCGCCTAACACAGCTGTATTATTATAATGAAAAAAATACACAATTACGTCTTTATAATTTAAGCTGAATTATTTTTTATCATAATAATACATAAAATACAATAGTAACCCAGCCAAATTACAGCTCAACAATTTAAAATTGACTGAGATAAATAAAGTAAGTGTATTGGTTATATAAAGAATTAGCGACCCGCTCCGGCTGCGCGAGGGATGCATTACAAATCCTTCAATTTCTCGGCTTGTTCTATACTGTAACACGACTGTATTATACATATAAATGTTTTTATTGAATCTCTCTATCTATAATTTCAATTATATACTGCATTAAAATCTGTTGCGTAGTTGAAAAGATATAAGCGAATAGACAGCGTCGATGACTACTTTCGGTTTATTCTATACTATGTGGAAATTGTACCGCGTTTAATTTCTATATTAACGAACATAATACTTTTGCTTTCGACAAAACATATACCTTAACTTTTAATTCAGTTCCAATTCAGAAAAACACGTAAGTGTAATGTGTACCCGATTCCAACGAAAGTATGCTCTGAACGCGGCGGCGACTATTTTATTAAACAAATAATTAGCAACGGCATAGTTACGGTTCAATGATACGCGGCAGTCGCCATATTGCGATTGTTGCGCTAGATCGCTGTGCGCCGCGTGATGTAAGTTCCGCACAGCTTCATAAATTCAGCTCGCCATTCATTCTGATGTTTTTTAGTAGGCACGCGGCCGGCGAACTCGCGTCCTTGCTGCGCCTACGCGCTGTTGCCCGTATCTACGAACGTCGTGTGTGAGCAATGAAACATTCAAAATTAGAATGTTCTAAATCAAAATGTCTTATGCTTTTTACTATGATGTAGACGGACAATGCGAGTTATGTAGGTATATTGGAGGGCAGATAGTGTAATCTGTAATCTAGTAGACATGGTTATATCGTATGTATATGTAAACATCCTAAACATAATAATAGTTGAAACAATTCTAAATGTCATTCGGCATTACGTGAGATGAGAGTATATTTAGCTTTTTTAATTTCGTTTTTTGGTACATTCTATGCGTACATTGATAGATATATAAACATAGAATGTACAATGGCAGAATCGGGCTACATCTCATGCATAATTAACTCCATGGGTAATACCAAAGAGTATCAACACTATTATACAACTTACTCAATAAAATTATTTATGATAATTATCATTATTTTCTCATGAGGATATAAGGTTTATAATTTATGCAAAGTATCTCGAATTGAACAGTCATTTCACCGCGTCCTGAATCACACAAGCAAGAATACATTGAGGCTAATTTACTCACTCACAAAACTTGCGGAAAAACAAGAACAACAATATGATCATATTTTTGTGAAAACCTAATGGTTTTATATTAATTTCAATGTTTATAAATACAACTACTAGGTATATAATTTCTTATTAATTTAACACACACTTTCCTTATCAAATTATCGATTTGAAACGAACACAAAATGTGACTAGGAGCACATACAAAATCTCTCCTACGATATCAAGGCTACGTAAGAACTAAAAATCATTTTTATAATTTTTTTATAGTTTTAAGGAGTTAATTTGATGTTATCTAAATTTTGATTAGGTATCAACTACTATTTATCTTATTCTAAATTCAAATACCGATATACTGGTAGAGACAATCTTTATATTCTCTACTTAATTTATAATAAGAAGTAAATATGACAAATAATTTACTCTACCTATACACTATGATGTGTATACAGATACTGTAAAACATCTTGCCTATAGTATAGACCCTTTATTGATATTCAATATACATAACGATTTTAAGCCTAGATTCAGCCACTTCAACTTTGAGACACGTGCACGCGTGTAACATGAGCTTAAGTGCATTGTTTGGACTGTAAACGAGGGTTACCAACCATAAGACATTATCAAGATGATAATACGAGAGTTTTTAAATTCTTCATACTAAGGTATGAAGAATTTAAAAAATCTCGTATATCACTCGTACGGGGGGTAAGGGATTTGTTAGTAATGAGGACTGTCCAATTCCAATAACATCATTGCTATTAATGTACTATTAATGGTTGACCTCCACGCAGTTTCTCCTGGAAACCATCCTACTCTTCTTCACGCTCATCTTATACTCTGGCTGGCTGGGCTCCACTGGTGCCCCGCTAGCGTAAACCGTTAGCGTAGGCGAGTGCAGCATACCATTGTCGCCCAATAAAAAAAACACTCGTACGTTTGACATCCCTGCTGTGGACTTCCAATTCGATACGAGTAAACCCAACCCCTCAGTGCGCAGTGCTAACTCGACAAAAGCTTATTGTTTGCGCAGGTGCGTCGGAGCACTCTTGGCTCTTCTAATTATCGCCTGAATAATGCGCGAAGGAATCTTAAGGATTCAGTAGAGTCATATATTGAAATTATGTTACCGATATATATAGATGCATTTATCGTGGTTTATATAATAGATGTATCGTTGAGGTATCTGACCTGACTAATAGTAATCCAAGAGCGTATTTAGTTTTAATTTTATCCAGTGTGATTGAGGCACCTAATAAACATACGGCAGGTCTAATAACAAGATATACACATATCTGTGTAACAATAATATGTTTATATAATATTTGTTTATTTCAATCAATCGCAATAATCGTATATATATATTGACGTAAACTGTGTATGATTAAATTTGTTAATTATCTAACTACAATGTCATAGGTACATCTATTTTGTGCAAAAACTACTTATATCATGCAAGGTGTAATGAAGTATTGTGAAAATATTTATGTATATATTACGTTTATAAATAAACAATATATTTTCGCGAACATATGGTATTGAAAAATATTGCAATAAATATTTACAAACCTATTCAACATTGACACAGTCGGCTACAATATATTTTAATGATAGAACTAGCTTAGTTCTTATTTAATGAGTGTACCTATTATTATTCTAATTGTAGCACCTAATTGGCTTCAGTCTTTGACCGATAGAAGACGCCAAAACAATTAAAATTTATGTTCTCGACTTGGCAGTCACTGGTAGATACCAGTGGCTTAAAATTAAATGGTGTTTATAGTTACACGACAGACAACACAACGTCATGTGGCAAATATACTGAATTACCAACATTTATGTACGTGAATAAAGTCTATTTATAATGTTGGCGTCGACTCGCTCTACATTCTTATCTCGACATTATTCTAAAGTCGAGTTAGTAATCTCACAGATGTCAGATGATACCATATGTATGTAGCAGAACAAGGGCTTACTACGAACCGGTCCAGTTCATGTTTATTTATGGACAAGATTCACTGACTATACCTAAAGAAGGATTTATAACACACCATTCACATAAATATAAAGTATGCTTTAATAAGTTCAGCTGAGTATCTATATTGTCCACTCCAAATATCTATAATATAGATATATATGTAACTGTTTTTATTGTACCATCTGTTATTTTTACTTATTTATTTCTTATACTTTACTCTTATTCTCCTCTTATACCTACGTTATTAGAGGCAAACGTATGAAGTATGTAGTACCTTTGTCTAGTCGTTTTTTTATTATCGCCATATCACAATATGGCAATAAAATTACTAGTTACGTCGGCATAACAGCTTTGTCTTCAGAAATAGAATGGCATGAGGGGTATCATATATAACTAGGTAACTAAACAGGTTTATACCCACTTTGATGTCCCTATGTTCATGTCTAAGCGATGGTTAATTAGGTATCACCTTCCATCAAGCGTATAATAACTATTTATTAATAACCATTTATAGATTTTTAGAATAGATTTATAGATTTTAACAACTTGACATTTTTAGTCAATGTTAATTAACGATGTTATTTTTTTGTCCACAGCGCGTCCGATGATCTCGGCTAGCCTTCCTGGCGAGGCGCTGCCCCAGTTGGGGCAGCTCGGGCCCCTGAGCCATCTGTACCCGCCACCACCGCCCACCGGCATGGCACCCGAGTTCCTCGCACCTCCGCCGCGGCCCTACGCTCGCTACGCGCCACGTCGGCCCCGCGATACTATGCCGGCGCCTCCGACGCCTGCTCCAGCGCCGTTTCCATCTGTCCCTGCGTATGCACAGTTCCTTTCCCATCCAACTCCGTATACGTCGTATCTATATCGAACTCGAGCGCCCCCTCAGCCTCCGCCCGCTAACTATCCTCTACGGCCACGTCCCACTTCAGGGTTTGTGCCGCCGGCACCAGCGCCTCATTCGCCACCTGTATCAGCACCGGCGCCCGTTCCCCCACTCAGAGAGGTTAGTATTAATTCATACTTTTGTTTAAAAAAATATAGCTAAAAAAACTATTCACAAAATTTGAAAAACCTGTGTCAAAAATTCTATATCAATTCTGAATGAAGGTTATTTTAAAGAACTAAACATGCTTCAGCATCAGGTTACGCCCGCTTGAAAAATAGCCTATGTGGTGTAGCTATAGGGAAAGAATAAATAAAATTGTTCTAGTTTTTTGTGCTTACAGCCAAACGAACATACAACAAATCAAGTATTTATATTAGTATAGATGAAGTCGAAACTACTTTGAATTTAGTTTATTTTATGAAAGAAATGCTTTAAACTCTCAAGTTACAATTTTAGCTTCACGGTTCGATTTATTTGTAGGTGCTTCAGAATCAAGCACATTCTGTACCCCTGAAGGTAAAAATGTAAAATTTTACTAATTAATGTATTCACAACACATTCCAGGAGCCGCCAATGTCTCCAGAACGCGGTGCTCCCGCGCCGTATTTCTGCCGAGGTGCGCTCATTCGATTGGAGGATGGTTCGCTACGGCGCGTCGAGGAGATGCGCATAGAGGACTTCATGTCAAGCGCAGAGAGAAATGGTGATTTAACTCTAACACAGTGCACTGTACTACGTCTGGACGAGCGGGGTGACAAGTTGGCCCTTACTCTCACTTACGATAGGAATCGCTCACAGGTATATTTTTGTTTTCTATCCTTAATTATACTTGTTTATATTTTGAACAATAATAGGCTCTAACTGTTACTGTTTTGATTGTTATCTGATTGGAACGAAAAATACTTAGCAACATGTACAATATATACAATTTGTTTTTTTGTACAAAAGACAGAATTACGATTTTATTTTACGTATGATTACCTATTAAATTTACCCAAGGAACAATTTGTGCAAAGACGTCTCCAAGGGTGGGTCGCCTATTGTGGGTACCATATTTCAAATGCTGTGTCAATACTTCCCTATGATAGTTAATAGTTTTATTTAGATTCATAGATAGAAAAAAAACATTTTGTGTGACATAGATTTTATATTTATATTTTTTTTACATTTCTCATTATTTGGATAATACAAGTATATTAGGCGTTTTATTTTCGGTGAAGAAATTTACCGACTTTCTATATAATTCTGTATAATTTCAAAAGTTTATAAATTACGCTTTTTCATCATTTTTTTGCAGATAATTTATATAAAGTGGTTAAAATGGAGCTATTTAATTTCAGGTGGAATTGGAGTCCACCGTGGAGCATCCGTTCTTCGTATACGGGCGAGGATGGTCGTCGTACAAGCCAGAGCGTACGCTGGCGCGGTACGGTCTGCGCGTGCAAAGGTTGCAGGTCGGCGACGTGTGTGTATCGCTAGTGGCACGCAAGCATGCGGCGCCAGCTCCGGCACCGGCGCCCGCGCTTCACAGCCCGGCGCCTCCGCAAACGCATCCTGAGAACCTCAGCGTCAAAGAAGACGCTCGCAAACGACGGTGGTCGGCGTCCGACGTCTGCGAGGATGACCGTCCGCCACATAAGAAACGCTGAACTACGCTGTTAATGACGAACTGTCGGTATTTTATGTGTAAGTTTGGAGGAGAACTATCTTAAATGTGGTGTGATCGCCTTCGTTGCAAAAACTCTCATTTCGAACTCTGATTGTTTTAGTGTCCATATTTTCTGGAAGCGTTCGTGACAAGCCATCACAATTGTCGGTGGATGCGTAGGTACTGTTACTATTTTAGTATAAAATACTAGATTTTTTATGAGGAAACCAATGTAAATTAAATCGTATCCCAGTGAGTTGCTGACCTCGTGCGTCGCCCGAGAGCACGGGGTGGTTACCAGATCCTGCAGCGATCGGCAGTCCACAATCGTACGCTTATGATATTCTATTCGGGAACTTTAGGTGCTTTTTACTGTCGGGTGCTTCTGTACGCGTTCGTGTACGATGTTTGTAAATATGTATGTAACTTAGGTCAAAGTTAACGTTACTACACTCCATGACTAAATTAATATGTCACAAATATAGCATCGTTGTTATCACTAACTGTAACACGTCGCTTCGGTGTGCCGCATAGTACCACAGCAGGGGTGCTCGTATGTTATGGACACGCGAATGTTAATGGAATGCGCAAAGACAGTTTGTGCACTCCAAAGCACTATGAAGTGTTGAAAATGGAGTAAATAATTTACAATTCAGCACAAAATATCAATGTGTAAGTTTCTACCAGATCTTAAAGTAGGTTAGATATTGTGATAACCAATGAGATTTAAATTGTCAGAGATGAAATGGCTCCGCATACTTTAGACACATGGTACAATGAATGTTAGTAGTAGATAGTAGTAATGGGCTGACGTGTGCTTAATTCTTGACTGATGCTCGTCCTTCGTGTACTCCGGTTCAATAAGTTTCTTGCAAGCAGTCGAGTCAAAAGTTCCATTATCATTCAATGGTTGTGACTGCAAACATATCCACCGACGTGGCTGCGAGCCCGACGCTGGCAGCGCCGCGTCGGTACCTATAACGTAACCCTCGGAATACTACACAAGGGCATTCAAACAATTCCCAATCCTTCACGGTAATTGTAGATACAAGTGGTAGATACTTCGCTAAATAACAATGGCAAATTCTTCTGACAAATAATTCGATCGTATATAAATAATATAAATGTTGATAATTGATATATATTGTAATATAATATGTAATAATCATGGTTATTAGATGTCATCTCTATTGGTTTTTGACGTCCATGTGTGATACACATAACTTTTCTATGAGAAGATGTATACATAATAAACACACAGTCTGTGATATTTTGTAGTTATTGGTCAGAGTGGTAAGAGGTATTGGTTGATAAAGGAAATGTATATGTTTTAGGATAAGTGAGTTATGCTAAGTATATTGTTGTATACTCAAAAATACATCGCTGGGAAATCTGATACTTAAAACAAATGTAACAAGTAGCGTCTGTGATTAATATACATATATCGTTATGTGAAATAACGACTAATGCATGGCCATATCAAAAATCAAATTATTTTTTGTATATTATTAATAAGTAACTAAGTTATTTCAATTGTTTCGTCTTGTCCAAATTAAGTTTTCATAATATACTACGACGATTTAATTCATCGGTAGCAATTACGATGTGGGGCGATGTTAAGCCATGGAATTCTAGAATGTTATGTAGTGTAATTAGGTGGAAGGTAGCATAGTCAAGTTGTTATAGTGCATATGTCGCATAACTATGCCACCTTTTAATAATATAATGTTTTTAGAAAATTTGCCATAGTCCGAAGCAAACGAGTAAATTAGTGAAATTGCCAAATATCGCAGTTTGTCCGTTAAGCAACATAACAAAATGGAATTGGACCGTTGAGTTTGTTTGACAAATGTTAGTTTCATTGTACCGCCAAACGTTTCGAGCTTATATTGGTATGTTCATTGTTGACTGCCACGAAGTAAACACCTACCCGGGGACGGAAGGTGTTGTACATTTAATAATTATGTTGTATGTAATTGTAGTTTTATCGTCTTTATATTATTTGTAATTATAATGAAAGATCTCATTTTATTAATCGGTATTTTCTAACAAGGCGCTTTCATTAGATCATGACTATGCCTACCTCACAAACTTTAAGACTAGTGTCTCGCCGCGGCGAGGCCCGCCTCTCGCGAGCCGGTCGCAAACAAGTCTAAACAAGATCTCAATTTGATGAAAATAAACTTTTAAAAAGACTGGGACGCTTTACTGAATGTTGTGGGATAATAGTTTCACTGAAGATATTACTTAAATTTATGAGATAGGAGCATTTATTATGAATATGGGCGCGCTAACTCCGTGCATGTCATGCTCGGCCTCGCTTCCAATCAATCCAAAAAGCTGGATGGTCATTTAGTACAAAATTCGTTACAAAAAGTATTATATCCTAAAATCCACATTCAGAAAGTATTAACTTATTTCAGTGAATGGTGCTATTAATAGCTTTGAACTACGAAAATACATCTGGCACAATCATGGTAGATATTACTTATAGAAATAACAATATAAACACACGTGGTGTCACGGCATGTCTCTCCATACTTATATTATTTATCTATTGGCCCTTTAATTGGCGTAATCATTGTTCTTCCACGTCTCCTATTATTTATTATGGAGTTAATTATACACACACTTACAAATATAGATAAACGTCATGTCTTTGTAATTTTGTACAATTTACATTTAACTTAACCTTCTGTAGATGTAAATGAGTTTCAGCATGACCTTTGTATTAAAAGTTACGATTTATTATTATTATTATTATAATTGTTACTGTGAGTTAATTGTAAATAATATTATTTAGACGCAAGAGACTGACATAATAATTTTAGATTTATTTGTGATCAACCAAACGTTATCATTTAAAAGTGAACCAAAAAGTCTCTGATATATCTTCTCTGATCCACTAATAAATATAACTTGAAACATTAAGATAAGTATGAGCAGTATAAGTAAGAGCCTATTCACTGTGTATAAATGAGGTTGATGTAAAATAAACGTTACAATTGACACAAATTAAATAAGTAACATGAAGTATAAATACAATAAAAAAAATTGTTATATGAATTAAAAGGTGAAGTGTGAGTTAGACTCGCAATAATAAGACAACTCCACATTATTTAGTACTAAGTTCTAATTAAACATTCGGAACTTTCTTCCAAAATAAAAACATTTTTTCCATACTGTACGTCTGATAAATTGATCTATAGCTTTACCTTAGCGATAATTCGGAGTTTTCTAATCTCTACATAACAAAACTATTTTTACCTACGTGAATGTAATTTGAAATTTTAATTTACATGAATCATTATGCATTCGAAAACAAGGAAATTTATTTCAATTATATAAGACAGATGATTGTATTCAAATATGTGTGTATATATATTTATTGGCAATTCTGATATTTACTACCTATTGGATAATTATATTTTTCTATTATAAATATTAATTCTTATATACTTAAAGATTATTAATTATTATATATACAGACAAATAAATATAATTTAATACAAATTTTACAATAAAATCTGCTTACTACATTTATATGATAATAATTTAGAAATATGAAACAAAGGAACAATAAATAAAAACTGTGAAAAATATAAATTATTTTGTAATGAGAATATCCATAAAATAGGAAAAAAGTAAAATTTGCACATACCGTTAAATCCCCAAAGTACAATAATAAATAAAACATTCATAGAATGATAATTTAATTACTAACTTAATGAAATTGAAGATATCATACTGTAAAATATAGAAAAATAACAATGTCTCAAAGGAAAGTTATAACTATGTTTATCTTCGCGTTCTTTAGCCTATATGTTGACAACGTATTCTAGTTCTTCCAGCTGCTTTAAGTGAAACCTACACATACAATTAAATAGTTTTCGCCTCATTAATATTATACTATTTTATATTAACGTTTAAGACTTTAAAAAAATGCACGTGTATAGGCTCTACTGCCCTAATATACCTTGTTCTTTATATTTATGACGCTGGTACTTGTGTCAGTCTGTTGAGTTTATACATTTCTAACTTGTTTGTATTGCAAAAACCTTGTGTTTCGGTACATGAACCAGTTGCAATCAATTCTCAGTTGTGACTGATTAAAATCGAAAGGTTAGCAATTTTACATTTCCCTTTTGAGACTTGCATTTACAAGTTGTATGGTTCGTAATTGCAACTATGAACTTAATTATGTAACGATGTTCGTAACAATTCTCATTTGAAATAGATTAAAAGTACCATTTTACGTACTAAATGACCTTTTACAGTTGCATTTACCTACCGTACGATTACTAACGGCAGCATCTCTCAAACGGTTCATACAAACACAAACCCATCAATATTATATAGGTTACAAGTGAGAATTGTTAATGGCATAACGTATTTAGCAGCAGTAACATAATTAAGACCCTGGTCATTAAATCAAATTTAATATAAAAACAATCAACGATATATTTACTTTATAGTGATATTTACATGTTAATTACAGTCCAAAATAAATACAGTCAGTGTATATATAGTGAAAGGTCTAATAAGTTTTATATAGTTTTCATATGAATTACTATAATTTCAAATAACGCTATAAGATATTAAACCAAGAAATATATCAAATATGTGGTTGCCAACACGGCCAGTACTGGTTTTCATAGTTTGTAAATTCCATACGCCGCCAACTAACATTACGAATGATCGACACAAATGATTGTGCCATTCATAGCAATTTTATCAATATATAATATACATACTTGTTTATAAACACTAAAACATTGTACAAACCTATTTTAAGTATTGAATTTATATCACTTTCCTTCAAGTTACTAAAATAACTCGAAAGAGGGACAAAGTATGTCAATAACTAAAATAGGTTTATTAGATGTTTAGAGTTTTTATAAATAAAGGGGATAGTCTTTCACTAGTTTAAGAAACATATTTTATTAGGTTTAACACACGAAACATAAGAATTATCTTGTCTTTCTTTTCATCCCAGACAGATACAGTAATATGACATACTGAATTCTGTATATTTCCATTGTAATGTGTTTTATAAAATATAAAATATTTTTACACACTTCAAACTGTTTTCGTAAGATTAATATGTAGAGAACAGGAAATGTTGTGTCATTTAATAGATAAATAAATATAAAAATTGTTATATAATTATATGACAAATATGGCAAAAATATATTACTATATTTTATTGTATAGCGGAATGAGTACTATTTCAGATTTAAATTGTAAATGGAAAATGTTATAGATCGAGATATGTTAAAATAAGTTAACTGTTTGTAAAAAGAAGAGAAAATATGTATAATGAATATTTGCTAACAATTTGTTTTATTGTCACAATCCTTCTGATTTTAAAGAATAATAATGAACCTGGACAATTCACAGTCCTACTACAAACCTACTACAAAGCTAAATAGAGCTTATCTTATGGGTACTAGACAACTGCTAAAAATACTTAAATATAGTTTTTTTGTGAATACATACATAATATAATATATATAAATCAAGCAGACCAAAACAAGCAATCATACTCCTGAATTATAATACAAATATTAGCATCATGCGGAGAAACGAAGTAAAAAGTACGCGTAGGTACCTCGGTCTCGACTAATTCAGGCGGCAAGCAGTTTACTTTGTGTTTATAGGCTGAGATATGGCAGTGAAATTACAGGAGAAAATGCATGACATGTTAATCTTTCGTAGTGGAAATGCAGAAACAGTATAATTTCAATTAGATACATAAATAAAGCGTAAAGTGTGACAATTACACAATGAGGAATATCGAAATAAAAGATCATATATAATAAAAAATACAAAAACATAGAAAAGAATTAAAAATGTGAAGTAAATGTGCATAAGACGTAAATCTAGATTTTTTGTGTCTTATCAAAAGTATATGGTACCAATAAGTCAATGATACATATAAAATTTGCATTACTCACATTGCATTTTGTAATTTTTTTTCGGAGCATTTCAGAATCTATTTGCGAAATCTGTTGTCCATATGTTTATACGTTAAATTACGTTCCATCAATTGTTGCTCCCTGATTAAATAATTAGTCCCTTATTTCCATAGAAAGGTGGTAGGTACATAAATTCTTGTATGATTAAAAAAATATAATGTATGTGCATAATTATAATATATTTAAACAATCACAACATAGAATACTACTCGTAGTACAAAAATGTATAAACCTAGAGTTTTACTGAAGCGAGAGGAATGAGAGTACTTTCATATATCTGATTTGAGATCCAGCACAACTTTTTCTCCTGGTTTGAATGCCGGCATACCTAGGTACGGGCACGTAGCGCAGCGGAAAGCATCGCCCAGGTAGCACTGAAATAAATAACACATACTTATGAAAACAGGAAACACGAAACTCATGATGTCATAAAAATGTATAATAAGAAATGAGCAATTTGTAAGGCTTAGTCATAGTACACATTTATCCAATGTTGAGTAAGACCTCCCTTCTGCTGCGTCGTGAAGAGCAGTCATAGAACCGTAGGCATAGGCATACATACATCTTATCGACTACCAATCTCATAATTTTAAAATGCACAGTTCGAGCGACAATCTAATAGCCAAAGGACTCATGAACCCTTGAGTTAACGACCTTTCTTGAAAATTATTTAGTGTTGGATAACCGATTTATCGAGGAAGACAACATCATGTTTCAACCATCATGAGCGGAGTTGCAATGAAAACGTTGTAAAAACGGGGAAAATATATCGCGCGAGTCGGCTGATTTTCTATAAGTATTTCCTGTTTTTATTTTTTATAATATATTCAACAGTTATTTGTAAAACGTGTAAAAGGTGAAATATATAGTAAAATAACTTAATACTAGTTTTACTCTTAACAGTAATACAGCTATTACTTAAAGAGATATTTGTTTATAATAGAAATACGACGAAAGCAGCAGCAGTCCGAAGAAATACTTGTTCAATTTCTTAGCAAACGACTTCTATAACTATAGACAATGAAACCTGCACAATAGTGACGTATCTTGTAAATACGTAAACAATTACAATATATTTAAAGTTTCATTAAAATTCATTCAGTGGTTTTTTGCGTGAAAGAATAATAAACATCCATCCATCCACACTCACAAACTTCCGCGTTTATAATATTAGTAAAAAAATAAATATTTACACTTCCACAGGATGACTTAGGCGTCTGCTTGGTTTCGCCGCGTAGCTCTTCGGCGAGACCGCACGAACAGTCGGCGCATGCTTTTCGTTTCCCAGTTGTCGCACATACTGTAAATATTAGTTAGTTAGTTAGTGATGGTTTCGAAAATGGGTCCAACTTATGAGCAGCTACGTGTATCAACGCGAGAGAGATACTGTCATAGTCAGCTACATAAATAAGTATGCACTAAATTTCACCACACTGAATTCAAACCGTATTGAACGATGGCATACACCACCGTAGAATTTAAATTGACATTACAATGTTTTTGTATACAAGGGTGTCATAGTGAATAAGGTACCAAAAAACAAACCTAGTACAATTATTAAGTGAAATAAAGTGAAATGAACCTTTATTTATTAAAAATATAAGTAGTTTCACTTTAAATCAACTTAATTAAGCACTTTAATCCTTATTTTTTTATTCTACTACTCATTAAACAGACTTATGACAAGGAGCAATCAATTTGCTTCAGTTATATATGAAATAATCAAAAATTAGTCAAAATCGAATAGACGAAATTTATTTTATTTTATTTTTTACACAAAAAATAATATCTGCACATATTGAGTGCTGCTTAGTTATTGTCTATATAATATTGGCTTTTCTGTCAAATATTTTTTAATGTTGATCACGCAGTGACGAGGGCCTATTTGCAAATGTCAGACGAAAACTTTGGTCTGAAGTTGGTTATTCATCACGTACCATATGACTCCTACATAAAAGATAATAAATACATGGATATTCCCAGCAAACAGTACCAAACCGAAGTTTATGCACGTTTACAATATGTATTGACGTCATCAAAATTGTTTATAGTGTGTAGGTATCAACAATATCAATGGTCTGACCATTATAAGAAAAGATAACAGTTATCGCTTATCTCATAATATCACACATGACCCCAACTTAACGTGTCAGAATGTTTTATTAGGTATTTAATGCACTAAATATATAAACAACACGCCAATTAATCGTTTAATAACTTACATATTTTAGATATAAGTACCTACAAAGGAAAGTCCTGTTTATAATGAAACACTTATTAATCGAAAGAAGTAAATCCAAAAATAAACAGACGATATTTCGATTAATAAGTGTTTCACTATAATTTCTTCGTTTTTATTATACTATCTCATTCATATACAGTCTACACCTATACCTATGCAAAACCTGATTTATATCACATTATTGGCAAAATGGATTTTAATAGCTCGATTCTAGTAGTAATAGTCTATTGATAAATAATTTATTGTATATTGTAAATATACAGGTACATACATATATATGTCGGACATCTCAGTCATCACGGTATAATCTTGTGAAGGTAACAGTCAATTAGACGGCGGTTACCGTTTCATCCGGTAACCAATCTGTTTATTTACCAGTACCGTTAGTAGGTACAAAAGTTTCACTAATTTCCGGCTCTTCATAACAAATACTCTGTGTTACTCTCTTTTAATCGTATGGAATATTTATTAGTTGGTGTATTATATTCCCCAATGAGTTACTGTCCCCGTATTTAACATAATAATCATAGCAACGGAATGCAGCTTTGCTTGCCAAACTATCAATCTAAAGAGTCTTAAAACAATATATTTGTCCATTATGGTAAAGTTTTCTATTGAAATATTTGTTAAAGATTTTTAGCCACACAGATATTTTTGTTTATCTTGTAATTGAGCTGTTTATAATGGAATGATGCACCTGCCAGTGCTAACGGTATACGCAGGACACCAGTGCTGGACAATAAGATGAAGAGGTGTTGGTTTCTAGCCTGGTCCACGTAGAATCCTCCTCCTGTACATGTTGTACCCAGGCATGAGGGGATTAGGAGGAGATATGGTATAGGTTAAGTAATATCAATAACATCGTATAATAAGCAAGCCTTTGTACAAGACGTGCACTGAGACTTGAAATGCGAAATGACTATAATGTATGTTAGAACAGCAAGGTGGCACTGACCTAACAAAACTGTATGAGTCATTATTGGCAACACAAAACCCCCGCGTGCCGTATTATTATCAATGCCAGCTTGAAACACAAAACCTCAATTTGTTTATCAAGATTACTAGCAGATTGATAAAAATATATAGTATGCGAATAAGTACTAATTACATTGCAATATTCATTTAGTGTATAATTTTACGCTATTGCAATGAGTTTAAAATTATAAACTGTATTTTAGTCCAATACCTATTTCAATTACAGAATTAACCCATTTACTATTTGAGATTACTAGTACAGTAATTTAAAGTCCTTTTCATTGTGTATTACGGTAGGTACCATAAATTTTTATCATCAAGGTATATACCTATAATTTATATGTATTTGTATATTTGCAGTGGATTTTGAGATGGGTGTGAGGAGTGATCAGAAATTATTGATTAAAATGTAAATATGAGGATGTCTGAAAATTGAGCCTGCGACTAGTTGTAAAGTAAATCATTTTGTGCCTTGTGGGAAAGACTGAATGGGAAAAGACAACCAAAAATAGTATAAACAAGCTATGTAAAAGATGATAATGCATGGAGAGTAAATTCGGATATATAGCTGATTGAAAATAGTGTATAAAAGAGGGACCACAGTGAAGTAAAATAATGTTTAAATGCAAGGTAATGATGATATTTTAGAATTCCTTATTAATAAGAAAAAATATTGATATAACTCATTAACATTTTTTATCTAAAATAAAATTAGGCTAATAATAATGATACAGCACTAAAGCTACTTTCATTTTGATGAAATAAATATGGACCCAAATACCAAATTTAAATATGCATATTATTAATACAACACAAACAAATATGTTAACTGTTTGTCTATTATAATGAAAATTAAACAGTTATTAAAAATAATACTAAGCAAAACATTACCTCTTAATGATTGCTCTGGTTTTTTCAGATCATTTTCATCTAATAGTTGATCAGGATCAATTATATCATCATCATTTCCTCCCGTCCAAGCTGCTTCGACTGTATCATCTATTTTCCAAACTGCTGGTTTCTTTGCGAGATTAAGAAATACTTTTGATCCAACCTACAATTTCAAAATTATCATATTTTATAATTATATTGCAAAACATTTTTTATCAAATAAGTTCTAATTATAGTAATAGTGGTGCCATAAGAAGGATTTTCATATTGTTTGTGGAACTAATCTTTTAGTGATTGAAATAAATGTCAGTTAAAGACATGAAAACTCAATCACTAGAGCAGCATTTTAAACAGGTAATTATTTCATTCATAACTACATAATCATCATGAAGTATGTTATAGTTTTAATTAAAAAATATAATATTACACTCCATACTGCACTTGTAGCTATGTATATAAGAAATCTTCCTGCCAACCTAATGCAGTGATAGTAGAGGTATTTATTGGTAGTGCATGTTGTACATATGACATATATATATATAGCACTTGTAATTGTAAAGGCAAGAATACACATGACAAATATTTGCAGCATATAATTTCTATATATCTATATATTAATATGTAAATCAAATATTTAGTACACATTTTTACAAAATATTGTGTAGGCGGAGAAAAATGATATTCCACACACTTATAAATTTATATTGAGAATGCAGTATGCTAATATTCTTTTAAAATTATGCATAAGAAATACAATAAATCAATATAATCAATATTACACACACTACCATGCATTTGACACACACACACTTATATACTCTTTTATTTATTGTTAGTCTGTGGCTGAATTTCGGCCACTAGTACACATAATTATAGCAAAACTAGTTGCACTACATGAAGTGTGTTATTTGTAACTAATTTGCAAATATAAAATTGAATTAAAACAGTTATATATTGATAAAAATAAAATGAGATTTTAACGTTTTTTGAAATATATGGATAGAAGATTTTCTTGCTTGTATTATTGCATTTTTAATATTTAAAAATATTATGTTGTAATATATTTAATGTGACCTTACCTCAAAATTAGGCTTTTCGGCAATATACACATTATCTAAATCTTTTACTATGTTCATAAAGCCATTCAACTTGAGAGTACTTGTTAGATTTGTTGCATCCTTCAATATCAATTTTCCACTAGGTTTTAGGAGTTTCATAATTATTTCTAATAGATCATCATTGTGAACGACTGATTGAGGAGATAACCAATTTGATACTACAATATTAAATGATGATGGTGCTCGAGAAGCTGAAATAAAAATAGTGTAGTATAAAATAAGAACCCAGAACAGCATGAAAGGACACAACTATATATCACAGATGACCAGAGATGTGAAACTTATTTAAGACACCTGTGTAAATAAAAAAATATACTATATAGTTAAATTAAAATACACTGCACTTTAACATCTTTAATCTTTATTATTTAACTTAAAACCAAATAAATTTATTCACTCACATTCTGTGATCATTTCGGAGTTTTCTAGAACAACATTTCCCGTTCTAGACAAAATTTTAATTTCATTTACTAAATTACTTAAGTCATTTGGTTCGCTGTTTTTCCAAATTATCAATACATTGTCACTATCGCGTATATTATTCATTTTTAGTGCTAAAATGCAGAAACAGAAAAAAATATGAAAGTTTGTATTACAGATAACTAAATGATAGTACACTACTTGCACACTACTGAGAGGCTGATATAAATTTTCTGTGGCACAGATAAATGGAAATAAGTAGATAGAATGCATTTATATAGCAATATTTATGACTATTGTTTTATCCCAGTTGCACAAATGTGTCACTTTAGGTGATAAAAGAAGATAGCAATAATTTGTCAATGCCTGTCAATTTAAACTTATGATCTCTATTGTCAAACTAATGGCATGCCACTGTCATTTAAAAAATATGATCATAAGTTGATAGCAGGAATGTTACTCTATGCTAACTCCCTGTGTTAGCACTATGTAATATTATATTATCTGTGGTTAGCACAATGTTCGGCACAATGTGTGTGTATTATATCAAGATTAATGTACTTACATCGTGCCAACAATATTTTTTTGCTGGTAGTATCTGAAACTAATTTCAAGATATATACGATATGTATGGAATTGTTTACTAATACAAATATGAATTCATATAAACTGTTATTTTTATATTATCTAATCACATTAATTGATGTAGGCAATGATTAATCTAGAACTGGACTTATACTTCTACCATGTTTTTTTATAACTTAATGAAATATTTATTCATATTTAAAATAAACATACCTCGAACAAATTGGTACGAGATTTGTCCTTAAAAAATCGATTAAAATAAGGTAATGATGTACGAGACTTATTTTTCTTTTTATATGCCACTTATAAAAGTAAAAAAACATAAACTATAAGTAGAGAACCAAATTAAACTAATAACTAAATATATCTAAGACATTTTATTTATTTATACCATGTTGAGTGCTTTAAGGTTGGCAACACTGTTGACGAGTTTTAGTACGTAATGTATGTAGTTATTTACTGATAAAGTCATAATAATATATGGTGTCTTGTCTAACCTCTCTTCGTGTATTGTTTATTATTAGTTTAGCTTTTGAATATGCGTGAAGTGACTTAAACTAGTAATTTAATTTAAATAAGAAACACATGACATTTTAATGACGTATTAAGGAAAAAGATTAAATACGTACAATGTTTATAGAAGCATTTTTAGCTGGTATTTGGGCGTCTGTAGGAAGTACTTTAGGAAAATTATCAGGAGTACACAGTATAGTTGTAAGTAACATAACGACTTTTTTATGTTTGGTGTTTAGGTAACAAAAAAATATAAGTAATAATTTGTTAAAATAAAAAATATTTTAAATGTTACATTATTACATACAGTTAAAGTTGCATATTTATAATTAATCTATTTGCAACCATCAATAAAGTAAACAAAGAGAATACAACTATAGAGCAAATTCCCTATGAATTTAACTGACACCGCCATCTACAAGCAGGCTTTGACAACTTTACCGAACCATAGGGGGTGAAAGGAATGGTACTCCAAACCCGCGAAAGCATGCGCTCCGTAGTGGATATGGAGCGCATGCATGGCTGCATTTAAAATATAAAATACCCCAAATATTCCCAAACAAGGGATTTCCTCTTAAAACCCGGTATTTCGAGTGAAAATAATATTATATGATCAGAAAACTTTCTGTTATTGTCGGTTTCATTCGGTCGATGCAATGGCGGAAGTACCTACTAAGGCACGAACCCAACTACCGATTAGCCTATCGTTTATGTAGCCCACATGAGTTTTCAGTAAAACAGTGTTTTACTGAAAACTCATGTGGGTACCAAGAAGAGCATCACGCACGATCTATTGGTTCCTGCGACTTCCACTCCTTTGAATTAGCACCGAAAGAAGAATTTTCGATATAACTTCCCTCACATACCCCTAAAAACTTTTATAGTATACTTTAGGCTAAAGATAAAAGTTTGTGAGTATGGATGGATCTTTGTTACTCTTTCACGCAAAAACTACTGAACGGATTTTAATGAAACTTTACAGTAATATAGCTTATAGATACATATGTAGATTAGAATAACAAATCCTTAATAAAATTATAAATGTGAATGTGGGGATGTCTGTTACGCTTTCACGCAAAAACTACTGAACGATCATCATTCAATAAGAAGGAACATAGGACACTTTTTATTAAAAAAAAAAACAAATATTTCTGATTCAATGCAAGCGAAGCGCCTCAGGTAAAAGCTAAGCAAGTAAGCTATAAAGTTCACGGGGATGAAACCGCGGGCACAGCTAGTGTATATAAAAGATTTATACAAACATCCTAAGGACTTAAATTAGCGGTTGACGTTTTGCTTCAAAATACTTAGCCGTAGTGAGTTAATGAATAGTTTGAAACGACGGCGAAGACTGTAATTTCATCGCGTAAATTGGAAATACCTAATTTATTTATTCAGGAACTAATGTTATTCAAAATTATTTATAGTGCAAAAATAGGTCGAGTCATCGAAATTATTGTATTACTCTAGCTGTTAGCTACGAATTCGTTCGCGTCGTCTTTTATTACTTTTTTTATTAAAATAAATTTCTCAGAATCTTTAGTTACTAGTGAAGGCTATGTCATAATCGGTTCTGCCGTTTTAGAGAAACAGCAGCATTTGTTAGAAAAACAGATAAAAATATTGAAAATATTTTTTTATTTAAGTTGCATAAGTACTGTCATATACATTTAGTGAATAGCCGTTAATTTTAAATTACAAACAGACACTTCAATTTTATTTATTTGTATAGTATTATAACGCACAAACTACTGAACCGATCATTATCAATATTTGTACACATGCTTACTTTTTATTTAAAAAAACAAATTTTTTTTTTATAAAAAAACAAAAATATAAAATATCAACATTTTGCTACTTCAGGGCCATCTAATATCCAGTAATGAAGTTATTTAATGTATAGAAATTAATAATAATAATAATAAAATGTATGTCATAATTATTTTACTAGGGTGACAGCTACCTCATATGGGGCGGGTTGCTAGTGGCTATGGTGATCGCCAATACATGGGGTTGTCGACACTATCTTCGCTCCCTCGACGCCGCTACAAACTCCGTAAAACCTACAGTTATATCAGCTGCGTCCAGCTATGTTCTATCTGTAAGTATATTCTCTAAATACCTTTACGACTCATATATCAAATGGCATTTTTTTAAATTTAATGGGTAATAATGGAATGGTGCACCCACTTGCTATATAGGTGCAGTATCGGTGGGTAACAATGAATGAAAATATAAGCATGAGGCCAGGTCAGTTAGCCCATCGTGATAAATTCAGCTGAAAGGTATTACAATGGTTTTTATTAGATACCGCGTGGTCAACTTTATTACCACGTGGTTAACATGGCCCACTGGGGGGGGAAGGGGATTGTTAGTAATGTGGATTGATAACCCCATTGCTAGCAATGTACCATGTCAGGTCGACCTCCACGCGGTTCCCCCTGGAAACCACCGTGTTAAATTACTGGTGAATTTGTCACGATGGGCTAACTAACCTGACCTCATGCTCATCTTATCATCCTCCACTGGTGCCCCGCCAGCGTAAACCGTTAGCGCAGGCGGGTGTACCATTCCATTATCATCCACAAAAAAAACATGGCCCACTGGAGGGGAAGGGGATTATTAGTAATGTGGACTAATGATCCCTTTGCTAGCAATGTATCATGTCAGGTCGACCTCCACGTGGTTCCCCCTGGAAATCATCGTGATAAATTTCCGGTGAATTTGTCACAATGAGCTAACTGATCTGACTTCATGTTCATCCTATCATCCTCCACTGGTTCCCCGCCAGCGTAAACCGTTAGCGCAGGCGGGTGCATCATTACATTATCATCCACTAAAAAAAAAACATGGCACATTTAATATCAGTCCATATTGCTAATTAACAATGGGATTGCCATTGTCAACTATCGATTTTATTATGAATGCTACACATCACATACTCACATTTTGCTGGGTATATTTGATTCCAACGTGGCAGAGAGCGAGCCTAGTGCCGTCACTTGTATTAATTTTCAGTTTTTTTTGAGGTCGAACTCCACGCGGTTTCCCCTGGAAGCCATCGTGGTTAATTTTCGGTGAAATCGGTACGATGGACTAACTGTTGCTCATACGTATATCATCTGTACGGATGGACTAATTTCTTGCTCATACTATCATCTTTCATTGGTGCCCCGCCAGTGTATACCGTTAGAGCTAACGGGTGCACCATATTATTAATTCATTAAAAATTCCCAGTGGTTGTAAGTTTGAATACTAAGTCAACTAGACCATGACATTTTCCCCAAACACTAAAAGGAAAAAATAATATAAATGTGAAAGTGAGTTTGATGAGGAAGAGTCGATTCTCACCTAAACGGCACGTGGCGGGAGAGAGGGGGTCTCGGCAAATATTATAATATTTAAGAATGTTTGTTCTGCAAGAAACAGTGTAAAATATTGTGAAGAATTATTATTATCATCGAAAGCAAGTAGCACAGTAGTAGGTGGCTTCTCAATACGTTTCCAAAAAAATTTCTCTCTTGAGATTAATGAAAAAGGGATTGAGTCGAACCCAATTCCACGACATTTTACCAAGGGGGATCCAATTGGGGGTCGAAAATTTGATAAAATCGCCTCATGTAATTAATGAACTTCCCCTTTTTAGTCTTATTTATTAATACCTATTTCAGTAGTTAACTATATTTAGGCTACATTTTCTTTCTGTATCGATTGCAGCTATCCAGGATGCTCAATTAATTTTACCAAGATATACATTTGTGTGTTTATATATTATACCTTTATTGTAAACAGGGGGTTATCGGAATAGCTTTATTCGAGGAGGGTGCTTCGGTGCGGTGGTGGGCTGGCGCTGTTCTCATCGTTACCGGCCTGGCATTCGTGGCCCGACCACGGAACAAGCATAAATCTGCATAGCTTTCGTGTTTCCAGCATTCAGCAAACAAATAAATTAATGTCTTCTAAACAAAAGAATGAATGGAGCGTATTACAGAAATAATTCCGTGCTTATTTTTAAAATAGTACTTACATTTAATTTATTGGAAATTGCTCTGCGCATAATTTAAATACGAACGAAATGTAAATGGATAAGTTTTTATTTTTATATCTTTTATAGATTCCAACGTGAATGTTTGTAAAATTTACTAATCTGTTACTAGTAATAGTTGAAATATATATCTAACTACTGTCTGATTCTGCAAACGTTGTTTTACCATATAAATTAAAATCGCTATTGTAGTGAAAATTAAGGGTTGTATGTATTTTTAATGCATATCATAAAAAATAAATACAAAAAAATAATATTTAGCGTAATTTATATTATTTACACATATCATTGAGGTTATGAAATATTCTAAGACCCGACCCCGTTGGCCGATTCTAAGACCTATCCGATATGCACATAAAATTTCATAAAAATTGGTAAAGCCGTTTCTGTGGAGTTTGGTAACAAACACCACGAGAATATTATATATTAAATATATTTTTCAATCATCGTATAAATGAAGCACGCAGTATTATCTATACTTATAGCTCCCAACTCTGTGGAGTGTATGTACGTATGTATAAATAATATAAGTAAGTACCTACCTACTATGATTTGATTGACGTAGGTGTTCAATATTACATGATATAACTTACTTAAGAAGTGCAATGTCGGTTACTTAGGTAATGTACCTTCGTAAAAGTATTCCCATAGAAGCTTTACGATTAGGAATTTTATATTACTAGCTGATTCCAGCGAATTTGTCTGCGCAATCTTTCATCCTTTTTTTCATTCTTCTATATTAAGTACCTTTTATATTCTTATTTGAGATAGGAAATAGCCTTCATGATACAATGTTAATTAATAACAGTTTTGCATTTATACTATAAGTATCATTTTACTGTATACCTTATATATATTTAACTGTATTTCTCATTTATCACGAACATAATTATTGACTGTTTCAGTTCGTCAGTAGTTATTGTAAATGTTATTTAATTGAAACAATGAAATTTAATATTTAACGGTACCTAATTAACTCCCTATGTATATTCGACCTATTGTCTGTCTTTCGAACGTACAAATTACGTACATTTTATATGGCTTCTTATTATTGATCGATATTGCTTAATTAAGTTTAACAAGTAGATAACTTACAACGGGTAACTAATAATTACCATAACATAATCTTATTCTTAGAACAATTCGTCATTCCTTCAAATAGAGTAAGTACATATACTGTTAATATAATTGTTACTTGAATTAAATGAAATGTTATTGTAGAATTCTGTTTGACTTTTCCGCTTAAAACCTGTTTATGTATCTTTAACCAACTTAAAAAATAAGGTTATATTCACTATATGTATATGTATACTATATATATATGAGATACGGCTTCTGCTTTGTCATGTTAAATTATAACTGCGAAAAAGTATAAGTAACTTTCCCAAGGGATTAATTAATTGATTCCATTTGAAATAGCCGTTTAATGTAAGTGTATCCAATCTATTTTTACTCGGTAATAATTGCTACTATGGTTTAGAGTTATGTGTTTGTTTATAGATTTATCTTGTGAAAACTACTCACCGAGTAGATACTCAAGTACGCCTACTAATATCACCGTAAAAGAAACCAAAGTATTTCAAAAGTTAATCGATAAACACTACAGATTGCTTGCAAAATAAATAGGTAGTATTATACTCCTTTTACACTTAAAAAGTGTTACTAAGGGCAAAATACGACTATACTAAAAAGTATCAACTCACCCTTTGCATAGCTTTCAACCAGTCTCTACTAGGCATGGCGAGTTGCTATGTTTATCGATGTCGATATTTTAACAGATATGAAAGAGTTATACTATACACTCAAAAGATGGTTTCCACTATACGTTGCCCAATTTTATAAAACACTTAAATGAAGTTCTTGCTCATAATACTCGAATTTTGATTTTATAAATACTGTACATATACCGTTTGAATCGAGACTCTCAATTATTTTATCAAGTAAGTTATTACGTGATCTGCTCATCGTAGCTACGAATGGCCTATAATAATCAAGAAAGCGCTTGATTGGTCAAAACAAGTCACACAAGAAAAACTTTCATAACATAATTATTAAAACAATATCGAGGAAACACGACACACGGTAAAAACAAAAATATAAAGCCAGTATTTTCTTAGTATTTGCTGATTATTATATGATATGTGTTCAGTATATTCAATTGAGAAGAACTGGTAAATAACTCAGCTGAATTGTTCCATTTTAATTTTTAGTCAATATGTTCGTTCTTTACACCTTTGCTTGCACTACATAAGATTGGTGACTCAAGCAGGCATTCTGGTACGTAAAAAATGTGTCAGTAGGTATTCTCGGAATTTTAAGTACTTTGAGAAAGTTAAAACATATAGACTAAAGAGAAAGTCAGGCATTCCTTTATATAATGACTGAAGAAAAAGTGTATATTAAATATGATAATTTTAATCTGTGCAAAAAAATTTAAATATTATTTTACTAAAGTTAATGTAATACCTACTTGTTTTCGGACTTATAGTACTTGGAGGCGTACCAACACCATAAATACAATAATTTCTTGTAAATCGACATTTTTCTATCGACATCAACACATCACATTTGTATTTTATAGACGCAGTGACGCCGCCAGTAGCGCGTCGCGGATCGAGCTTACTTCACGTATATTATCGGTCTGATTCGTAACTCCGCGACATCGCCTACACGCCCCGTCTCGTTTGAAAGATTCTCTCGATCAATAACAAAACCAATTGTAACCATGATTATAATTTGATGCGTCCATATAACTACTATCCAATACCTATACGTGTTCATCCGACTTAATGCATTCCACATTTTTATGTAACCGAGTGTAATCTACGTCCATACAGAATCGCGTGGCGCACCGGCGTCAACAATGTAGCCATAGTGACGTGCCGTGTTGACAGTTTGACACTTTATAATGAGGCGACGATGCAATTATTATTTATGAACTTTACAATACATTGTTGTGTTATTATTTTTTATACATTTTAGAATCGACAATAATTGAATACAGTTGAATAAGTTTTGTAAAATAATTAGTGAAAATGGGGAATGGAATGAATAAGGTAAAGATAAATTGAAGTAATAATAGATCGCTATATTAGTTTGTGTTTTTTAATTTTATCAAATGGAGGTTATGTTTTTTATTTGCGACAGATCGTTACGTAACAAGGACCGCGTAGCTGCTAGTAGCTCGTAGAACGCTCGTAGCGTCTGTAGCAGTGTATTTTGGTATCATCGGCTTCTTTGTTTTTTTTTAAGATTGATGTATTATTTATCCATGTTGTATACATATACTATAATTCTAAAACAAGTAATGCACTATTAGTTATTAAAAACCAGTAACTTTGTTTGCTTATTATTATTATATTTCTTGCTGATGTAGGTATTGTGTCAAATCATGTATTGATTGTGTAAAATATTCTATGTACAAAATATAAAAAATGCTTTCAATAATTTGAATATAAAATTATAGAACTTGGTACGGTAGGTACCCGTCAGCACTCGGCAACAAGATTGTTATTAGAACATTTCCTATGTTGCGTTGTTTGTTTCCAAGACGCATCTCATTAATTCCGTTTTGCAGTTTCTTATAAAACACTTAAACTACTAAATTTGTCCAATATAAAATTTGTATGTTTTTTTTCCGATTCCTTACAATATATATTATTTTAATTTGGAAATTATTGTCTTACTGTATGTCCTTTAACAAATTTGCATACATACACATTACTCTTACGTGATTATGAAATATACGCGTGAAATTATCAATGTAATTTTTGTGAAGTTGAGGCCTTTACGGACAATCTTATACTACTGACTGACTGTCAGGCGATGGAAACAGCGAAATTCAGATATGTCAAAAGGTGCGATCACCACGACGGCGACGTCGACGATTACCTCACTCACAAGATAATGCAAAGTGTAATTCACTCACATTCATATTGTGAAATATTCCATATTCCACAACATGAATATAAATGAAGGATGGTTGGTGACACATAAAATATTTTTCGCCTTCATAGAATAATAACAATCTTGGGAACAACAATGTTGTATTTTAAGTCCCGTCACCTAAAAGACACTTTCTAAGTGAGAAGTAAGATTTGATACTTACAGAGATTCCGAAACAAACGTTCAAACATTTTCACAATTTTTCAGATAATAAATTTACTGTAGGCTTTTAATGTATTTATTTATTTTATATCCAAGTATGCTGATGTTTTACTTGATGGTAAATGGTAACCGTCGCCTATATACATGAACAACACTAAGGACATCATGTTACGTCCGTAATACCACTCATTCGTTGCTATTCCGGAGAATTAATATCACTCGCCCTACCACCGAAATACTCAAAGCAAGCTAGGTGGCTTAAAAAGGTGAGGCTAAGACCACGTAGATCTCTTTTTACGAAGTCTGCGTTGGTAGATTAGTGAAAACATATTTATTTATCTATATATATTATCTATAAATATATTATTCGATCATGATTCGTAAGTATTCAGTTCTCCTTTGCATAATATATCTTTCATAGGCAATACAGTGCCATAAAATTGGCAATACGCCTAAAACGCGCTCGTAAAATAGCTATACGGAGATGACGTAACGTTTTTAAATACATCTTTGATAACATTTTGTTAGTATCAGATTTTTCTATCATAATGGTGGCAAAAAGCCTATAAACGTATGGTAAACGGTTTTCATAGCCAATGGACGCCTGAAACATCAGAGATGTCTCGAAATTGTCACCTATTGTTAGTGATCATAATAACCTTATGTAGGTCTATATCTTGCTATTAAATTATTACAGATATTTATGAAAAGTCAAATGTAATATAGTTTGAACAGAAAAGGACTGACAAGAAAGTCTGCTCTTAATATCTTCATTTCATTTTCAATTTGTACATAATTATAATAATTAATATGTAAGCTTAAGTTTAGGGTTAATACGGTGTCGAGCAATTTATATATATATAATTATATAATATAATATATATACGAATAAATATATAATACGAAATAAAATTTATATAATAAATTAGTTTCCTTAAGGTTGTCTTAAAAAGTTTGCTTTCAGCAATAAGGCCACCTTACATGTATAGTTTAATATATTATTTATATCTTGATACGAGTATACTGTAAGGAAAATAATATAAACTACTACATAAAAAACAAACCAATTCGTTTGAAACACTTGAGCTTACTTTACGGTTAAGCTAAAAAGTGCAAAATTTCCCTGGAAACATGAATGAATGGATTTTTAATAAGTACTCTTTGTTATTTAGCCTCTTAAAATAGTTTAAATATTTCTTCACTTAAATATTCATTTAGGCACTATGCTAAAAATTATAGCCGCTTTTTGGGTGTCACAGTACTGTTATATACGCATATCTCGCTATAATTAATTTTCCTTGAGAAAGAGAATTTCATGGAATCGTGCTGGATATCTACTAGAACATTAATAGTATTATAATTAGTGTGTATCTAACTTACAATAGCTATGCCCACCTGTTCTTTGAATTCCATTAAATCTAACTTTTCCTATTTCAAACTACCCCGAAACTATATTGAATCAATTGTAATTGGCTCGGCCCAATTTCTTCTATCAGTAATTGTTTTAGTTAATTATACAATTTATTTTCTTTTGGTTTTATTTATTTATCCAATACTTATAAATGAGTCTACTTTACTTTTTGTTCGAATAGAAATTTAAAAAACATTCAAATGATGGAAAATGCCTGCTGTCGCCCTAGATTATGTATAGACATGAACAATAATATATTATTGACATCACAGAATATAATGTAATTTGTGTGACGTGTATGATACAATAATACGTTATACCTGTCAGATTTGTGTGTTATGAAAGAATTGGAATTAGGCACGGCCACTCCTTGTTCTAAATGTTTTGTACACATGAAGTCCAAGTATTTTGAGTTATAAACATTTCGTGTAAATTTTCTTCAATCGTCAAATATTGTTGTTAGAGGTATTACAATTATTATTATAAGATTTGACGTTATAAGACTATGCTCATGCTACAATTTTAGTCAAGATACTGCAAAAATCCTATAGCTAGGCTTAGCAAATATCAAATTTAATAATAATAAAAAAAAAAAATAATAATCTTTATTTGTCTCAAACAAAAACTTTTCACACAATACAACTGTTGCCCATACAATAATATAATTTAAAACTAAAGAATGAGACAAAACGGTTTATAACTGAGTGAGGGCAGTGAGTCCACCCTCTCTGTTATTCTGTTATAGCCTTTATCAGTAAAATAATACAATATGAGATTGATATGAAATTTTTGCTGTAGCATACTTAAAACAGCCCCTAGTTCTTGTGAGCTTGATGAAAGGTTTATGTTTATTTAAATCCTAACAGATGAACTGGGTTTGTTGTACAGATACTGATACTAATAAATAACGCATAATCACATATGTACTTACTAGGAGTATATATTAGTCAGTCCCATACGCCATTAAAGGCATTAGAAATAAACACTACCTAAGTATTGTTTAATAATTTACTCATGCTGTCTCTACCAATGAAGAAAAAATAATATCACAAAAAATTGTAACTACTAGAGCTTCCGAAATTGATATAATAGTACCAAGCTACGTATTTGTCGGCTCGTTATATAAATATAAAATGTTTCCGCTGAAACAAAATATATTCTACTGGGGAATTTACATTAAAATTGCAGTATGTTTATGTGTACGCATTCCATCCCAGTAGAACTAAAGGCAGTCTAAGGAAAGGTCGAGATTATGTAATCACAAGAAACGTAGTAGACTGCGACGTCTCTGAAAATGCTGTGCAGGAAATGGTAGTGGCGAAGGAAAATAAGAAAAGCTAACTTTGCCTACATGTACGATTTACAGTTAGGTAAAGAAAGAGAGAGAAAGAATGTGTACGCTGGATTCTAAATAATGTTGCCTAATTTGTATATCCCATATGTTATTTTGCACATTATGTTAAAGGGATATGTACTATCACAATATTATTTACGCCTGCTTACTTATAAGCACCTGGTCAAGAGTCATTGCTAGTCAGAGTAGAAATAAAATATATAAATACCGAAACTCTTAAAAAATATTATTACGTAAATATTCTGTTTATAATTTGTTTAATGTGTGCAAATATGTAAAGACAGCAAAAAAAGTTTAAAACAGTAAATATTATTCTATAGTTATTACACAATTAAATGTTTAACTAAATATATAATTATTAATTCAATAATGTAGGTGGAATATTAACAAGGTGGTTTTAATAAACTTAAGTTCGGCACAAACATATTATATGACGAAAAAGGTCTTCTACACGGTAAATATTACCATCAGCGTTTACGAAAACAATTCCCGACCTCTCTCGATTCGTCGGGGAATCGGAAAATATCACCTTTATTAAACGTCTGTTTGCCGCGCTGCAAGCCTGTATTATACGATATTACTTTTTTAATGCTGTATTAAAAGTCAGAATTTATCAAGAAACTATATATTAATTTATTCAAGTAACAAACTATTAAATATCAGCTATTATTCATCATCAATTTCAGTGTAAAAAATGTATTCCAATATATACCTATTTTTAATATTAGTCCTACTATATTTTATTGATGACTATCTCTGAAATGCTAGGTATATGTATACACAATTGTATAATTTATATACTATTTGTTTCTACTAAAATAGATTTAATAAGATAGATAATATAATAGATATTTTGTGTAAATTCCAATCATTACTAAGTTAATATAAATTTTTACTCTTTATAGTAATAAAGTAGAAATGCAGTTGTGGTGTCACTTTTTAATCCCCATCAACTATTCTTTTGCATCAAAGTAATGTACCAATGCAAAAAACAAGTAAAACTGTAGGTTACCTCCTAACCTAACCTGGGAGTATTCTTCCGAGAGTCAAAATTCTAAATAAGTTTCTACTCTTTCTTTACCACATATCATGTAAGATAAGCCATTTATATAGTTTAGAATTTAACAAACAGATAAACAGACAATATTTGCATTTAGATACCTAAGAATATTATTATATAATCGACTTAACCCCTTTTATAATGAACAATGCCAAATATTTCTGCGGGCTTAGATAATGTTCGGAAGTATGCGTCCCTTCCTTTCGGTTTAATAACCACTTAAGTATACCTAAATCGTACTTGATACGGGTTATCGAAATATTTTAAGATGACCACAAATATTTTGCGAAATTGAATAAAGTTAATAAATTATTAATTGAATATATGCATATGGAATTTCGTATTGAAGTCTATACTTTATTTAAAAATCATATTTTAGACCCTGGTTTCACGCGGACATACAATCGGGCTAATCCGTATTAAAAAAACAAAAATAATGTGACCAAGGGCTCCTTGTATGCAAGCTCAATTTATTTCTGGTCCCTTTTTTGACACATTTGTCTCTTCCCAAAACTCTACATCCTTTGTAACGTAAATATTTATTCCATAATGTTAGATTAATTATTTAATTATGCATAATAAAATTTAATATAAATAGGTAGTGATTGTTATCCCAGATAATGGTCAGAGGGTTTGTCAACAGTTAATGTTAATTGTAACGGTGAACAGACTTGCTTAGATTTAAATATATAACATTGCCATATACATTTAAATGCAATAAATTGGCACATAAATTTGTTGAATAATTTGTTTGCACCACCGGAAAGCCAAAAATATAAATTGATAAATACAGTCATTTTTGTATCAGCCAAATTCAAACTCACGATCATTAGGATCTAAGGTAAATAGGTCACAACGTTTTAAATATATATATACACATATCTCATTACAAAGTGTTTACACCTGGTTGTTATGTTTGTTGGCAGGTTCTTCATGGGCTGTACGTGGGTAACTATAGGGATTCAAAGGACCCCGTGCAGCTCGAAAAGTACAAAATAACACATATACTGTCCATACACGACTCCGCTAGACGAATACACGCCGTAAGTATTTTTATATTAATACATTCAAATCCATAAGCACATTCTTAATTCTAGGTACACTAGACTTTATTCTTGTACCATGAGTATTCTACTAAAATACATTTTCAATTAAAAACTCTCTTTATTCATAACAGATAATGACAGCTTTTACTTTTATATTTTCTTTATAAAAATCAACAGACTTATTACCAATTCAGCAATAAATTGCATGGGATCAATAGGTTATGCTGACAATTACAAATTTAAACGTGTGTGTTCATATATTGAGACCAATATCATATTTTTACCAGCTGTTGCAAGCGGTTTTGCCCCTGAATGATCGGTTTCTAAAGAAATTTCGTGATTTATTTCCTGTCTTTCTACATTTTATTTGATTAGAAACTCCCCAAAAAAAATTTTATGCTGTGATCTAAAATCAGTAGGTTTTGATTGCGTGTTACCTAAATCAGACTGTCAGTCAGATTGTTTTCTTAAATACCAGACTATCTGATGCTTAGTTATACAATAAATGTATGTTCCTTAGTATTTATATGTAATAACTATAGATTAAGTATAACAAAATATATATTTTTTCATGTGATTAGAAATTCGAGTTATTTATAATAATAAATGGTAATAAATAAGATTTTAAAATTTGTACTAGGAACGGTACGAAAACCTATAAATATTTTTAATTTAGGTAAGGTTTGGATTTGAATTTTTATATTAATTTCTCATAATATATACTTATTAGCTAGCTAGCCTAGCTTGTTGAGGTGGAATTTTGACATATGTAATAATAAAATTCTGTCTACTTCGGGGATGACATTACATAGGGAATTTATACCAAATTAGGTACGACGTTGTTATTCGCCCTGTCTTATCGGGTATTACCAGAATCCTATGATCCTATCGTATTCTGGTCGGATAACTCCATACAATATTGTTGGTATTTTTCGAATTAGATTGGCTAAAGAAAAGAAAGAAAGAAATTAACAATTAAGAACTCCTGCAATTAGCTTAGGGTTTCAATAATCATATAGGTATGCCGGATGGATCGGATCTTAATGAAATTTGACGCAAACATATGTATATTGTGCTAAGGTGGGTGGCGCTATTTTTTATCTTTATAAAGAAGCAAACGCATTATAAATAAATAGATAATAAGTACATATTTGGAGATTTTGTTTTATAAACAAAAAAACAATCTTGTCTTATCTAAATCTCTAATCTATTAGCCATAATGAAATTCTTTATTTAATCGTGAGTGTAAAGAATCATCAGAATGGTTTCAATATTGGTGTAGTAACCGTGTATATTTGTATATAAAAATATGGTTAGGTAAATCGAGAACTTTCAATTATCAAATAATACAAAATATTGCAAAGAGGGTAACTATTTGCAATATTTTATGTTGTCGTTCATATCGTACATAATTCATACATAATATTATAAATGCGAAAGCGTGAAAACCTTTTTATGACGGTTTAACAAATTTTAATTAAATGTAACGTAAAGATCGAATATATCTCGAGGACAGACATAGGTTATATTTTCGTGACGAAATCGCGTGTTAGAATATGGATTACAAAAGTGAACTGGTAGAGAACGCATTTAACATTAAGTTCACCTTTTGTACCATGTTTTTTTTTATCAATGAAGTTATTTAAAATATCTCTAAAGATTAAACCAATAAAATAAAGTTTAGTAGTCGCGTGTTTTCGGAGCGTCCACTGTGTATGTTGCTGAAGTAAATGGAAACATCTGGAACAAGCTTGTTACCTATATTCAAATATTTTGTTAATTATGGTACTGATAGTGGGAATTGTAGACAAACACTAACACAGGTTTTCTGCATCCTCCAAACGCGATGAGATCCAATAAATAAAAAAATATGACCTTATTTTATTTATTCCATTATTTTTAATTATTTTTTTACCAGAGGTAGACTTTAAAATAATAATAACTTTACTATATGCTACATTTAGTACTTTACATATATATGTATATTCTAGACCCTAAATATCTGTTTGTTATTTTTATGGGTGAAAATGGAACGATGTGCCTACATGGTTACACCATGGCGGGACATCACTCGATCTAAAGGATGGGCATGAAATCAGGTTAGATAGCCGTAATTCATTCACCAGGAAATAACTACGACGATTTCCCGGAAGGGCCGTGTGGTACAAGCAATGGGATCCAGTTCCCATAACTAACAATCCCCATACCCCAATATATATATAATTATCACAATTACAACTTATAACAAGATAATTAACGTATATTGAAAGTAACCACAATTGGTTCACATTTACGTACGTTACTTGAGGTAAATACATACATATGTGTGTAGGTTGATGTATTCAAATGCTCACGTCATGCATTAGGAAGCTACCTATTAATTTAGACAGCTAGTTATTACGTCAGTGTTCGTGTAGCCTGTATTATTCATACCACCGGCTGAAACTCGGCCACGGTTGGAAATTGTGTTAAGTGTATTTAGGCAGTTTAACTTTGAAAAAATGCAAATGCATGCTAGTCGTAACTAAATTCTTCCTAATTTAATTTAAACATGAATCTGTATTTTTGTAATCATGTACAAGATTATTGATAAAGAATAAGAGCTGAGTATCTCAACAGTTCTTTTTAGTTCAAAATTATGTTCTGAATTGATGATGGATTCGACATATCTTAAGTGTCTGTAAAAGAAAGACTACATGAATAAAGGTATTTTGATGTGATTTGATTTAAGACTTAAGACTACATCCGTTGAAATTTAACTTTTCTAAATTAAAATATAAATAATATGTCTAAAACAAAAGTCTAAGTTACTCCTTATAACATTAGCTACTGCCAGTGAAAGAAAGTTCCGTCAAAAATGGTCCAGCCGTTTCAGAGATTATCAAACAGACTGACAGACTGACTAAAAAACATCTTACTTATTTTTTAAAACATGTGAATTTAGTAAAAAATTACAAACTGATACTTCAATTTTATTTATTTGTATACATTAAGATATGTTGAGATCGTCGTGTTAGTAATTTTCTACCTCAACTTACACCCAAGTGCTCGCGAGTTCAAAACTGACACAACCAAAAACTATGCGTGTCAATTTATATTTATATCTTTACGCTGGAGGTAACACCGTTAATAAATTAAAAAAGAATCCGAAAAATGGGGTAGGCTCGTCACCTGACACGTTGTATATACCCAGCAAAATATTGGCATGTCAAATGTATCGGTTGGCAATGCCACTAACTGCCTTGTCTGAGATAACGTGGTCATGAAGATATATCTTATTATGTTATAGTTAGACTTTTATTTGTGATATGAACTAGCTAAGACCGCGACTTAGAACCTGTGAAATTCTGATTAAGAAGAGGTTAAAGTGAATTAACATACATATAAGCTTTATATGTATGTTAATTCACTTTAATTAAGAATTAAATATTTAAGCAATATATATAAATATATATATGGCTTAAAAAAGGTATACTATAGTTCTAACCTAGCATTAGGATTGATTGACCTGACAATTCATAATTAAATGACTGTCAAGTAAGTACCCGTATCAACTTGATATCCGAATCGAGACTAGCCCCAGGAGAATTTTATAAATGTGAGGGTTCCTTCAGGGAGCTTACACACCGCCACTTTTATTAGAGGAAAACCTTCATGATGATCGATTTCTTTATTTATTTATAACGTTAAACGGATTAATTTGGTTTGCTCATCGCCATCGCCGAAGAGTGCGCAGTATATTATAAATAGACATAAAATATATTTTTATGTTGGCCAGTTTCGAGCTACCGACTTTAATGTTAGTGAGGACAGACCGTTGGTTTAACTTATTTACTTATTAAATATATATTATGTTTATTGATTTTCTAGTATACATATTATACAAGTAGGTAGGTATATTTGTTTGGACTATCTCGGGCTTGTCGCTTTCACTGGGCTCGATTCAATGGAGATGTTGTTTGCTTGGCATCGTCTCAATTGGTTAGATTTGATTAGTGGACCTGAAACCGAGTAATCATTATTATTTACTCTACTTCAAGTCAGAAATCAAATCATGTATAACATTTCTTTAATTTACTTTATAACTTCCTATGCTTTCCTAAATTAATACTATGAATTTAGGTGTAGCTCTTAAATTCAGATCTGTAAAGAAATCCCTGAAATCATAACCGCATTATTATGTAGGTAAGTTTTCGCAACAATGTACGTTACCCATCACTACGGTATAGAGTTTACACGCGAGGCACTAGCTGAAATTAATATCATTAAACTATATAGCTCCCCAGACCAGAAAATTTATAAGAGATAGACCATCGCTGCTTAGTTGTTTACTACCCTGAATAACTCAAAAGGTCGTGAGTTCCGAAACAATAAAAACTTTTTGTGTCACCGATATTAAACCAACGATTAATCCCAGAGACGGCGGTAGGCTATCTCCCTGCTAATAGGGATTCAAAATGAATCCGTCTGTCAGGGTAAATCCATTTTGAGGTAATCAGAGCTTTTATTTTGGGCATTAGACAATTGTTATAAATACTTAAATACGTTTTGTTTTGTAAATACATACATAAAAGACAGAAAACGCCCAGACAGAAACAAACAATCATACTCATACGCTACATAACCGAGGTTGTCAATTAGATTAGACTAGGAAGGACCAATTGTAATTGTTGAATGTACCAACGGATAGAAGGCTACAAAACTCGTTTTTTTAGGAGGGAGAGAATTGTTAGTTATGGGGATTAGTGGCCCAATTGCTATCATGATATTTCAACGTCTTGCAGTCCCTCTGGAAACCATTGTGATTGTTTCCTGGTGAATTCGCCACGGTGTGCTCTCTGACCTGACCTTATACTCATCCTATCACTCCTCCTCCACTGGTGCTAAGATGTGCCATAGGTACAATAATAACCAACCATAAAAAGGTAAAACGATGAAATCTAAATGTAGAAACTTAGCATAAAGCAACATGTAACTTAATCAATATAAAAACATGGCTAAAATTGTTGTTCTCATATGAGAACAACGATCAATCTTCCTTTATTTATATATATAAACTAGCTGTACCCGCAACTTAGTCCGCGTGGAAGTTAACTTTATTTTTCTAAAATAAAAGTAGCCTAAGTCACTCCTTATTACGTCAGCTACCTGCCAAAAAAAGTGCCGTCAAAATCGATCCAGCTGTTTCAGAGATTAGCCGGAACAAACAGACAGATAGACAAAAATAGTAAAAAATGTTATTTTGCTGTATGTACCGTATTTATATTCATATGCATGTAGTACGAAACGGTTATTCCAATATTACAAACAGACACTCCAATTTTATTTATATTTATAGATAAATAAATGATGACCGAAGGGAGTTATGTATCGCCGTTACCACAAAGTCTACATTTAATATTTTATTTTGTACATATGTTAGTCGTTAAGATATATATAATATGACACGATATTGTTATCTAAATAACATTAAGTGACCTGAAATAGGTAAATAAATTATACATAGAAAATTCAAACTTGTTCAGTGCTGAAACTACATACATTCAAATTAATAATATAGTTATCAACTTGGACATACGTGTAGGCGCTCGTTATATTCACAATAACGCGGGAAAGGATTTTGCATATTGAATGCTGTCGCTCCGGCTAGCTCTGAATATTCAAACAGTCTAATTTTGCACACGACCCTGCAGGGATTGCCGATTGTGCATACGTGCTTCTACAATTTCATATGCACAGTACTAATAACGACTCAGTTAGAGTAGTTAGTAGAGGCCGCACCTTTTTAGACTTTCATTATATACTAGCTGTCCCCGCGGTTTCACCTGCATGAAATTTATAGCCTATATGTTATTCTGGTGTATAAGCTATATTATTGTAAAGCTTCATCAAAATTCGTTTAGAACTTTTGCGTGAAAGCGTAACAAACATACATCCATACTCACAAACTTTCGCGTTTATAATATTATAATATATATATATTAAGATTCAGATATGTTTTTTAATATTTTTTTACTAGCTCTGCCCGCGGTTTCACATGCGTCATATGTATAACCTATGTGTTATTCTGATGTATAAGCAATATTATTGTACAGTATCAATAAAATCTACAAGTTTTTGCGTGAAAAAATAACAAACATCCATCCATCCATACAAATTCACAATCACAAAATTCCACCTTTATAATATTAGTAAAATTATTTGTTATCTTTTGAAATACATCTCTTTACCAACAGTGATCATAGTTCTCTTCATATAATATTAAAAATACAGTTCTTAAGAACCTAGTCGTTAAAAAGAGGCTTTGTTAAATATAGAGGTCGCGTCATGTTGAACTCTACACTTATCGTGCCCATTTCTCAGTGAGGCCTACCGCCATCTCTCGGATTCAGTAGACACTTATTCTTTTCAGTGTTTTCATTAAGAAAAGGTAAGTCAGATATACCTATAAACTGACACACAAAGATTTTCTGTAGTACTAATCTCCCATCGCTACGTTTATTTATTAATACTGAGATTCTTCTATTAAACTGTTTTTCGCATTATTCAAACTTATTATATATATAATATTATAAATTTATTACACTCTGTTGGTTCATCCATCATCATCAATCTATTGTATATAATTTCCTATTTAAGAGTAATCCTTATATTAATTACCAAATTAAAGTTTATAGATATATACACTTATATATCTATACATTATCTATATATTTTAATTTTAAATATGGCCGATTCACCCATACCCACAGGAGTTAAAAATGCTACTTAATACATATCGTCTAATAATAAAGGATTTTCATCCCTGAAGGATTAAAAAAAGGAAAGAACGGCAATAACCGGTTGTATGTAAATCGCTTAAGAAAATTGTTAAGGCCAACTGCATTCAACGGGATTAGAAAAAATATATGGTCAAATGAGATTTCGTTATTCTATATTCAGTTAATATATTAACTTGTTGACCGTTCATAAATAGGCCAATAAAATTGTGATTCTATTAATTCATGTTGTGAATCCGTGTTTCCCAGATTTACTCTATGGACAATAAAGTCGTGATAATAACACTGGCTCGTAAACTTAACGACACAATAAATCGTCTGTATTCGACACAGACAACGATTATGTACCTACTAAGTGAACCGAGACTCTCCCGAGAATATTTGAAGGAAGTTACGCTTATCTTGAATTTAGAGTTCAATTCATACTGAATACTAAATTGTATGAGTATGTTATATTTCGGAGGACTGTTCGGAGTTTAATGAAATAAAATAATCTGAAAACGGATCAAATGTGAAAGAAAAAAAGCTGCGAGTGAGTAATATTATACCTCTTTAGATTCGAGCATTCGCTTTATCATACTGTACCGTTACCATTTCTTACTGTTCTATTTTAGGTTACTATGGTGTCAATACTAGTAAATAATGTTTTTACTATTATAACACAAATATCACTGAATTGGCTGAAATCGCAAAATAACACAGCCTACAAGTACATTATATTTGTAACGAAGTAGAAAATCCCCAAACTGTCAAATTATGCCAGTCACGCAAATCAATTTGAGGGAAAAATCAGTTTAATTTCTTCTTTAATATTCTTATTATAATAGAATCATTAGGACAATACATACCCATTTTGGTGACTGTACTTGTCGACTTAATAAATACATCAAACAATGGTAAATTCACCTTTGGGGAATGAACCGTGGTTTATAGCACATCACACGTAAGAGAAAGTGTCAGGGGATGATTAATCAAACACGCATAAAATCTGGCGTAGCGGCCGTGCCCATGAAATCTTTGGGGCGTGCTGTCTAATGTAATGAAAAAAGCACAATTTTATCTTTGCATAACATATAGATATTTTTCATAATAGGGTTGTAGGTGGTGGTGGTTTGGTTGGCGTGTTGATAACAAAAGGAGTTAAAGTAGAATAAAAACAACGAATAAAAATTACATATAACTCTCAAGACTAAAATTAGTAAGCTATTAATTTGATGTTTTAAAAATATACATTTCAGTTAATGTACGTATGTAAAATATACATATGGTTGTTGTGAATGTAAGGAGGTTGCTAGCCTACAGGCTGTAACAGAATAACAGAGAGGGCGGACTTACTGCCCCCTCTAAGTTGTAGACCGTTTTGTCTCGATAAATACCTCTTAATTTTATTATAAGCAGCAATGGTAATAGTTTATTATTTGAGACAAATAAAGATTATTATTATTATAATGGTGATATGTGGATATTTAGTATTATTATAATTCTGTAATATGCCATGCACAATACATATTTTGTAAATAGCTTATCTACTGGCTATCTACCATCAATCTCATCGTCACTATAAGGACTGATATGGGTTCCCTGTCAAATATCGGATTCGGTAGGATGCCGAAAGGTCGACATTTTACAAGAAAAACAGTAATTAAATTTAAGTATTATTCATAGGTAGTCACTTTTAGGGATTTTATATACATACTAACAATTAGGATAGCAGAACAATTAGTATTTGTCATCATTAACTTTTTTTTTCTTGTCTAATGAAACCTCAAATTATACGTGCTTAAAATCCTGTTTCTTAAGAGACCTCTATACTAACTTTATTTAAAAAAAATCAGTTTTAGTTAAATATGTGTACTTATTTATCATTACTTTGGTTAACATATATAGTCATCAGAGTTTAAATGAGTTACTTCAATGTATCATAGTAAAATAAGATCTAGTAATGGCAATATTGGCGTTATTTATCAAAATATCATTTGCATTATGATCTTGCAAATCTTATCTAGAACATTTATCATGAAATTTTTGGACGACAGCCGAGTCTTTGTAATTGATTTCGTTGCCATAACTACCTTCGGCACCATTTTTTATGACTTGGAATGATAAATTAGATGTCCTAGTTTATGGAAAGCATTGACCGTTGAGAATAATACTATTATTGTTATGTTGAAGTTCACGTGTAGATTAAAATAAACAGCGCCAAATAAATTTTCGATTTCTATGGTATACTTTTATTTATTTCTTTCAAAATACTATTTGACCATATTATTACAATAACCTTATAAACTAACATATATAAGTAATCGTCTTTGTAATCACGGCACTGACGACGGCAATCTGCTACGGTAGCGAGGTGTATTGGCGCTTCCGTAGCTGATTGTCCCATTGTCCTAGTTGTCCTCCTTTATGAAGGCGGTCAGCATGTTGATGAGGTCCCAAATGCTTTGAAACTCGCGTGGTGGCTCGACTCCAGCTGCGTCACCGTTAATATAAGGTTACTCCTGGCCCGTATGTAGACTACAATATCTTACGCCTCTGTAGCTAGCAATCATTTGATCCTTTAAACTAAAATACAATTCAGACAGAGATACGAACAAATCATCTGATATCAACTCGGATCTCAAGTGGTTTATAGAAAGTTATTCCTATTAAGATATAAAAAAAAGCAAAAAATGACACTGTGGAGTAATCAATATCAACTCATGCTATGTAACTACGACAGCAATAGAATGTAAAAGCATTTTCTAGATTGACATCTTAAAGTTACCCCCACGGGAGATATTTCAAACGGAGCGAGCTTTTAGTTGCACCGGAGCGCAGAGCTTGGTTTCTATTTGTTTTATTGAATTGAAGTAGGTGCTTTATTTACCTACCTTCTACTATAAACCTTCCTTAAATCAAATGTAGGTTATACAAATTATTAACTGTAACTTTACCATTTGTTAGATATAATTTTTAAAGCGTTCTCTCTATATATTGGCTGTGTTTTATATGTATGTAAAGGCAATTAAATGGGACAGTGAATTTCAGGTATAAATTCAGGCAAATACAGAAAAAGATATTGATCTGTCAGGAATTCTGCAACATATTTTTAATGCTTATTATAAGATTTGTTCTTTTTATATATTCATTATAATTGTTCAATTTGTTTGTTCTCAGGATAAACACTATCTTTGCATAATGGCTTCTGATTCTCCTGACCAGAATTTGACACAATACTTCAGTTTGTGCAATGATTTTATACATGCAGCAAGACTCAGAGACGGCAACGTACTTATACATTGGTAAGTTTGTACCTTCTTGCCTGCCTATTAGTTAGGTGTAGTTAGTAGATTTTTATCGCAATAAAAATTCCCTGTCAACACTTGTCCATTTGCCAAGATATCAGAAGATCGTCTTCAGAAGTCGTCTACATTAACTAAGTCTCAGTTAATTTTACTACCAGCAGCATACTTTGTATTTTGTATACTGTTCTGGATTTATGAGTATGTCACTTGGTCGTAATACCTTATTCTTCAGCGAAGAGAGGTACTACGAGCATCACAATGTGATATACATCAAAGCATCATAGTGCTCTGTGTATACATATGTACATATCGGAGATGCTTTATCACTTTCTAACAGGTTGTTTGTTATTCTAGTCACAAGAAGCAATCTCGTTAAGTATAATTTAGTTATTCTTGTCTCTATGTTGTATTATGTATGAATATAACTACGTATTATATTTTCTTTTAGTTTAGCGGGTATGTCCCGAAGTGTAACGGTGGCTGTCGCATACATAATGTCGGTGACATCGCTCACTTGGAGAGAAGCCCTAAAAGTTGTGAGAGCTGGCCGCGCGGTCGCTAACCCAAACTTTGGCTTCCAAAGGCAGCTACAGGACTTTGAGACTTACAAGCTAGTCGAGGTACCTAATTTAGACCTAATTACTATGACAGTCAGCGATGAATTTAATTGTCGTCATTCTTTTGAAAGAATGTCAGTAATTTGCTAAAAGTCTCCATGGACGTAAATTGGACTAACTAAAACCCAATTCGACTAAACGTCTTCTTAAATACTTAAGACACAGTTTAGGCATATTGATTTATAGACGAAATCACATTTAAACAATTTCAATCACAATCTACTTGTTAGGTATTATGACAGCAGCTGTATAAGTATTACACTTTTCTCAAAATCTTAATATGATCGTGAGATTATGAATGCTAATAAGTTACAAAAGGCATACCCTATCTTGCCTTATATTTACGCATACTTTAATTTCTATTATTTAATTATATCCTATTAAATTATTACAATAATTCTTCTTAAGTATGTTAACATATTAAAAAATAATAATAATATAAACGTAAGTAAGTATAAGTATGTTAATAATATAAACAAAAATATATGTTTATTATTACTGTAGATGTAGAATGCAACTGTTGCATGAGACAAAATCAGCCAAGTGTCTAAAATGAATCTGAAAAATGAAGTATCAACCTTCTCATTATTATGCAGAACGTGTATTCAATAACTACATTTTGTCGGGAAAGGAAACCGGAATAACTTAGGTCCCTCCATTACCAAAGTTGGCAGAGAACTATAAATCAGAATTGTTCAATAAATAATACTAATATTATACCGAGCTTTCACATTCAGATGACTAATATTTTATTTGGAATTACACATTTAGAATATAATTGGTAATAAATATATTTCGGTATTTGTAACGTAAATATTGATGTTACTATTTAATTAAAATATATATATATTACATTACCGTTATTCTCTTTTCTTATAACTTTTTACCTTTTCTCAACTGTAAGTACCTTGATTTCTATATATGTATTAGTTTTATTCCTCTTCGTTTATATCTACTGCAACAGCAACGAATGTGTGTGTGTATCACGGATGTCATAGCATATTGTCATATCTGTAGTGCTGTCAGCTCGCTTATCATTCCAATAAAGATGATTTCTTTAAATTTTAATGTTTATATGTTCGATACAAATTTTACAACAGAAATTATTGATGACAGATAATATCTGATTAGTTAGCATTTATATATTCTTAATCTGATACGACGGAAATCCCAAAATAGCGAGCGATTTAGTTTTATACACTTCCATAATATGAATACAAAAGAGTTTATTGGACAGTATACGAAAAATATAATGATGTCAGTTCAAATCCAATGGTGAACTTAAAAACTTGTTTTTAATAGAAATTTATTTATAAAATAGGAAAGAAGACGACTCAAGGAGCGGTATCCGTCCCTAGCGTTAACTGACCGCGATCTCTCCGAGTGTCGGATAATGTTGGACTCGTATCAAACGATGTTAAGCGAGAAGACCATCTGCGAAGGGAAATGTGCTATGGGCCGACAATGTCCTACAGGTAAATACCTAAGTATACGTCACCAATATTAAGCTTCGAAACGTCAGTTAGTTAGTTTAGTTATTAAGTGATACATATCTAATTCTATTGCTTCGTCTATCAATATGAAGGACATCCTACAGTTTCTTACATTGGAGAAAGAAATTACTAAGAACTTTATTACTGTAATTTAAAATGTTTATTTTTATCGCCTCAAAATATCTTGAAGTTAGAAAATATAGTAGCTATACCTATATTTACATCGATTTCAAAGCGAGCACAACTTTCCTTATTCTAAAGTTATTTAGTTGAAGTGATAAATCGGGGATAAAGTTTTGAGAGGATTTTCCAGTTTCATTACGAATAGTTTACCTAAAATTTTAATCAATCATGCATTTTTAGAGTTTAGACTCCAATAGGTTGTATTATATATTTATTGGTATTTCTTACACGCGTAGATCCGAGGATCTGATGATGACCACAGCAAAACCTGGATTCGGGGTTCTCTCAGGGGTTTTTACTTTTACTTTGTAAGTTTATTGGCTTTTGTTGAGTGATTATGTCGATTGACTCCATAATTTGTGAGCACCTCAACAAAAAATAAATCAAAAGCTTTCATTTACCATTTTCAACCATAATAACATAGTTGTAGTCTTCTAACATGTATTCTATTGTTTAGTAATCGGGGAAAGAATAGTATGTACGAACAAAATCACTGTTTTCATTTGAAAATAAAATGTTTGGACTTCAATGTCTTCTTTAAACATAGAATAATCACAGTTTGTCAGAATTCAATGTATTGTATGTCATCATATTATACATTTCGTGCTTAACAGTTATCATTAAGATCAATTATGTGTGTACCTACATAGTATTTATTTATATGTATTGATTATATTATACATCTGTATTTGTTAAGTATCTTCTGTGGAGATGACAGTAATATAACATTATGTGAACCACTTATTACCACTTTATGATTTCAACTAAATATGCTTTCACACAATCACAATAGTGCACGTTGTTTTAGAATTACCTATATATTTTTTACATCACACACGCGTTTTTCCTATTCAAGTCCTATTGAAGTAATTCCTATTGAATTGAAATAGTGGAACAAATCTGCAGTTTGGAGTAATTTTTTATGTAATAAAATCACAAAATCATGGAGAGGATATATGTTAAGATTTCAACTGAAAACAGCTGGATAAATAAGGGTGAAATTTCCACAGAATATGTCATCACATATGCTAAAGAAAGTTCAGTAAAATACCCCTCAAAGGTGGGAACTAATTCACAATTTTAATTATTTTTTAACGATATATGATATAATAAATGGCAACAGCTTTATAGAAATATCGTTTGATAATCATCAATACAAATGGTACAGATGTATAGGTGTATGAAGACGCAAGCATAACTATTAAAAGATTAGGAAATTATATAAAGTTATCTACAATATACCTATATTCAACTATCTTATAGGTACATTTTTATTAATATATAAAGACATTAAAATATGAACCTATCATTATGAAGTATAATGCTTTGTATAATTATATTTATCCTGTATTTGTTGACTTGACTTAAAAGTGAAGAATATCTAATATTTGAATACAATATTTAATAATGTAAAAACTTCAGCACAATGTCGGGTTATCGTCAGTATTTATAGATGACCTATAAACTCTCTTATTTTAACTTTGAGCATCGTTAACGTGGAAACTGATCAATTATCTATGGTTTGCCGTTGTTCTAAGCAGATTTTTTTCTAACCATGATAACGGAAAAGTGCACCCGCCCGCGCGAAGGTTTACAAGCTACCAGCTAGCGGGATACCAGTGAAGAGTGATGAGATGAGAACAAGATCAAGTCAATTTGCCCATCGTGACAAATTCATTAGGAATTTATTACGATGGTTTTCAGGCGAAAACCGTGTGAGTCTGACATAGTAGATTATAGCTATGGAGTCATTAGGTCACATTACTAGATAACAATATCATCCTCCTTATAAATAGATTACATATAACAGTGTAGAATATAAATACAGAAGGTAATACAACTTGTACAATATAGATAATTTGAAAACCGCATTACTACCAAAGGTCTCAGGTTCTATTCCTCGCACAATGCAAACATTTGTATTCATAGGTATGATTGTTTGCATCGATGTGGGTCTTTTCTGTGTATATTATGTAACTATGTATTTACTTATGAGTATAACATAAGCTCAGATTAGCTTGAGATAAGATAATAATAATTATTATTATTTATTGCCAGAACAAAAGATAGATATAAATTTGAGTTCGTACACTGTTTGTTGAACAAAAACTATAAAAAAAATAACCTCTTAAACTACGTATTAAATAGAAACAGCAGTACCTCATACTGCGTATTCTGGGCAAAAGTGACTGACTCAGCTTATGTTGTGAACGGAACTAATTTTCAGTCAATCCCTCTCATTTAATCATGCAATGCAATCAATGCAATAAAATTATGCGAGTTGCTTAACAGTCCAAGAATTAATGATGCTGACACTGATGCTGATATGTGAATTGTTCAGGGTAAGAAAATAACATAAAAAATACAAATTTAATCATAAATCTTATATTCGTTGTTCTGAACTTTGAAAATATTCTGGATTATGAAGGTGCTTTCTTCAGACGCTCCGCTACGATAGAAACTCTATAGAAATTTGCATAACTCGTGGGTTAAGTTTAAATAAAAAATTTCTTCGTAGCTTATGTTAAAGAATCTAGAAAAGCAAAACCTTGTCAAAGACTGAATTCTATAGGTTCATAATTACTTCTCTGTAAGATGAATATGCTATAAGAATTAGAAATATTAATATGCTAATTTGTATATGTATTAATGTTAATAAAAAATATAATATTGGATAAAATATTATTCGGGATCTTCAATAGGTACTTAGGCTAATTTCATGCATTTCAGACTTCTTTTTATTATTCTTTATACTATAAAAATGTACAAAATTTGAGCTTTATGCCATATGACAGTGTTTGTAAATATTACCCTATATTTTGATGTAATGACCCGAAAGTATTATATGCGTGTAACTATCCGATAGCGTTGAATTCTAATCTATCTGATATATTATGAATAGACAAAATTTGATACGTATTAGATACATTGATACAGAAAATATGTTCTAGTTTCTATAGGGGCATAATAGCTGCCTTGCCTACTTATTTCTATTTTTATGTATAGAGGTTAACGTGTCCGTCGATCCTAGTCACGTAAGCTTTCGGTCTTAGCCTCTCATTACTGAATAGTTACCATATTAAAAATCAATAAAACGTAATGAAAAAAAAATGTTTTCATAAATTTCTCCATAATGTTTGTCTTTATATGCAGAAATGTAACAAATACATAATGTATAATGTTGTGTTTACCAGGTGTTTGTAGAACGGGATCGAAAAGACAACCCAGGTCTCGGAAGCCTTCTATCCCTACAGCCATAACAACAACGGAAACTGTTAGCGGAGGCGGTGGTTTAAGAAGATCGCCTTCAACCCTTTCCACCACTTCCACAGCATCAGGGTATCGCCCTAGATCCTCGCCGGCGGGTCTCTACAGTTACACTGGTGGTGAGTGTAGTCTGATATAATGATTTGGATATTATTCTCAGATATATCCATGTTTGGATTTATAAATGATGGGCCAAATTTTGGATTGAAAAAATCTTGATCTATAAATCTTTACTGTTTTACTTACTGTTTTAGACGCACTTTGACACTATATTGTTACAATTCTGCTACAATAATAACATATTTCATGTACCTACTTTTGTTTAACATTGAAAAATCTTTACAAAGCCTGCACAGAGATAGTGTTTACAATTGTTACCAAATAAAAATCACACAATGTCATGATAGTAATGTATTGAATTTAATAATAATTCCTATAGATGAAATATATGTATATTTATATAACATTAGCGACCTGTCCTGTATTCGCATGGATGTATGTAAACATTGCTTGTTCTATACTATAACACTATTAAATATATAAACGTTGCTCTATTACTGAAAAGCGCGTTAAAATCCGTTCCGTAATTTAAAAGATATAAGCAATAAGACAGCCGCCGCTATTTTTTTATTGTTATACTATGTAAAGATTAATAATAAGTTAATTAATACCTTTTAATTTTAATTACATAATTGTTAATTAATTACACACATTAAAGGTAGGTAGTGTCAGTGCACAGGTATCTGTTACCTGTGTAATACTAACTGTTACCCATGACTACGTCTGATTTTTTAGATAAATTGGTTACGTCTGTCCTCGTGATTCAATATATTTTCGCATCAATTTCAATTAAGACCCATTAATCCGTTGAGTCGTATTATTTTATTAGTACGGATAAATTATGGTATTTAATTTTTAACTTACGCCGGTTTGAGAGGAAAGGGATTGTTAGTAATATAGACTGATAACCTCATTACTAGCAATGTACTATGTCAGGTTGACCTCCACGTGGTTCCCCCTGGAAACCATCGTGATAAATTCCTGGTGAATTTGTTACGATGGGCTAACTGACCTGACCTCATGCTCATTTTATCATCCCCCCTTGGTGCCCCGCCAGCATAAACCGGTAATGCAGGCGAAGCTCCATTCCATTATTATCCATAAAAAACAAAACTTACGTCGGTAGAAATTTATCGTGGACTGAGTTTTTTATAAGTAATAGGGAAGGTAAGTAGGCGACACGTCTTCGCTATTTGATACAAGACAAGACGCTGATATTTGTGCAAGAATTTCGTAATATTGTCATGTGTATCGCTTTTCACTTTATTAATGATGATGGAATCTTTCACCCGCCTGCGCTAACGGTTTACGCTAGTGGGGCACCAGTAGAGTATGATAAGATGAGCATGAGATTAATTCATTTACCTCATTGTGACAAATTACAAGAAACTGGGAGGATTGTTATTGTGAGACAACGATTTTGGTTTGCTACATTGCTAGCTATGAGTATAGCAATTCACATTACAAACAATCCCATTTCCCCTAGGAAGAACTTTGTAGAATGAGTTTCTACAAGTAACGAATGTTTTCCCAAACAAATAAATTATTTTGCAGCCCCTTCGCGACCGTCACGGTCAGCGTCAGGGCTAAGCGTGACTCGTATCACGGACCCCGTGGGTGGTGGTACCGCGGTGGCGGTGGGTGGTACGGAATACTCGCGGCGGCGCGCTGCATCCGCGCCCGCCACGCCAGCGCTGTCACCCGCCTCGTCACCGCCAGGATCGCCGCATAGAGCTACCCAAAGGTGAATGAACTTTCTCAACTAGACTTTTTTTAAGACGCACTTTTCGACGTTTTTCAACACACTTGCGAGGAAACAGAATAGAAAATCATGAAATTATATTTTGTTAATTTTGCCACTTTACCGCCGTTTTACGTTTTTAAATCAGTGCGCTACCTGGCGCCGCGCGTCTTATCAGTCAGTTCGAAATTAAATAATAAAAGCAAATAGTGCGGTTATGGAATACAACGCACGCGTGTTTTATGAACTGTTTTGTATAATGAAAAACAAGTGTAATTAGATCCATTTTACGAACAAGTGCGTTGAAATACACTATTATATTACTGGATAGTTAACAAGCTGATCCATGAGACACGAACAGCACCATCATCCTCATGTCATCATGTGACGGCTGTAGGCATAATATCATGAATACTACTATAGCGTTATACCTTCATCTATCGTGATCTAGCAGTTTAGCTCACCGCCTCACATCCGATGGTCACGGGTTCGATTCCTTGCACGGTACAAACATTTGGTCCCATTTAACTAAAATTCTCTGTGTTTTTGAGTATATTACACAATAGTAGATTTTCAATCCTGTACCAATTTTTATTATTTTTTTCATATAGTCGTCTTCTCCTTGAGGTTTTTTGTTTTGTTTGCCTTATTGTTTACCATGTTTATTTTTGATCCCAGGAGTAGCGGCTGTTGTTGGAATATACCCAATGTTAACTGGGATCCTGAATCTATGTAGTTACTGCACTTTGGAGCAATTGATAAAACACGTCGCATACACTTCACCAAGGTTATTTTTGCTTTTTTTCTGCGTGATTAAAGTTATTTATGTTGATACAATATGTTACAGTAATTATTATTATACGTTTATACATGAAACGTTCTTTCACTGCCCCAGAATTAGTTTCAGAAATAACAAAAGCAAACGATTATTGAAACAAATACCAGAAAAGCAACTAAGCAAGATTCCTGGCTGCTGAATTCCCTTCATTCAGTAACGATATAGCTACGTCAACCAATTATACTTAGGTACTATGAATAGAGAAAAATATAAAGATTTGGCTGAAAGTAAGAAAATAAGATAGAACATAAATACTTAGTAAATAGGAACGTAATGTAATAATGTAGAAACAATATTTTGGTATAGGAAATTGGAAGATATTTTCCGTTTGAATAGGTACTTATGTATTCCGTTGTCGTCACTTGATCCGCATTTAAAGTTGACTACATCGATTTTCTCCATGAATAGCTTTAATCGTCTGATTCCATCCAGACTACAGCTGTAACGATGTAAATGATCACAAACTATTTTTTTGGCATTTGTTTTAACGCTGCTTTCCATTCATCTGCATTATTAATGTCACAGATTAACATATTGAATAGCTGACAAGCTGCTGCTGGCAGCTTATCCAAATTATACAAACAAATTCTTCCTTTAACAATAGACTTTATTTACGATGTTCCTTTTTTGTGTCAGTCATTTAAACAGTGAGTAGTTCTAAAAAGCAACTTGCTAATGCATTTTGGAATTTTACCTAGAAATAAAATTATCTGCGTGGACAGAGGCAAAGGTTGTTTTGAGTATTTTAGCCCCAAAATCTTTTTAGTATTTTCTGTAAGCTGTATTTCAATATGGTAGTGATATTATAAGGCATGAAGGTTTGACACGTTAGTCTTCCGGAATGGTAAATCTGAGGGGTACAATTGGGGCCACAAGTCGACGTGGGATTCGTGGTTCCTGTATACAGGTATATGACCACACAATAGACTTCGACGTCTATTTTGTGTTCATATACATTTTCAGAGTGGTCCCTCTGTCAATGACGACGACACAATGACACCCTTTCAAACACTAATGATTGCGTTTTAAGTGAATCTCCACTTAATATATCAGAGGATTGCTAGAAAGATTCCTATACAGATAAATACATTCAAATCCATCAGCATCTGTTGATTAATCAATCAACTTTCCCTTGTATGAGACCTGACATAAGATATACATTATTTTTATGATCGCATAAACATTACTACAGCTGTAGATGTGTCTGAAATTCACAGGTCCCGTGCAGTCCAAAGATGTTCGTAGCAGGCACCACCTCGTCCGTCATCCCGCATCCGCCCAGTTTCATCCGCACATGGACGATGAAGGCTTCCATCCAAATATAATTGAACTAATTGGACAGAGGAAACAATCTCGAATCGAATCTCAAAAATGTCTAATTTTCATAGCTTATTGGGGTGTAAAATTATACAAAATAAACCTAAATGCTATAAGAAGCCTGCTGCCTAAATGTATTAGAACATCAAATTGCTATCCTCACTACTGAGGTTGCGGACAAATAGGTACATAGAAGGTAACCCCTGAGAATTCGATTGCCATATTTCTTAAAGATAAGTTAAGGCATTGTCAAGTCTTCGACGCCGCCATATTGGATTACTATTACTTGTTTCTGAATTATTAACATAATTACTGTATATAAGTAGTAATTAAGTTACGAAGTCGGAAGGCGACGTATGTTAATGTATACACTCTGCCTTATAAGTCCAAATGTTTTTATGCATAAGATAGTGTGTAACACGTCTTTGTGCTGTTTCTGCGTTAAGGAGGGACTATCGCTAGATTAATAAAGATGTGATACGTCTAGCCGTATGGATGGAGGAAATTGTGAAATATGTCCACTTGTCAACGAAATTAAGCTAGAATATTTCGCCATTGTCGTTGTAAATATAAAAATAAGTGTAGCGGAAGCTACAAATATTTTATATAGCTAGTGCAATTATTATAATTTTAGCGCGAATAAATTATGAACAGAAGATATCAGAATTGTTATCTGTAGAAAATCAGATTTGAAATATTAATTATTTAAATTTGTTGTCCAAGATATAAAAAATTTATGTGTCTCAATGAGAGGTAGATTAGGGTAGGTATATATTTATATTATATTTTCGTAAAAATGAAATCAAAGTAAAAATATACCTATGCATTTGTAACTGTTAAATATTTTATAATTTCACTTTAACTAAAACTTTGTTGCAATCAAAAGAAATCAATTCTTTCAAAATAATCCACTTTCCTACTTCACGACTACTACTTTCTTAATTTTAAACGTAACGTAGGTATTTCTTTTTTATTTAATTTAAGGGAAATCTAAAATAATCTTAAATATTATCTTAAAGATTACTTTAAATATTACCAAGAAAATGTCTTATTATTAGATTCAATTAAAATTATGGAAGCAAGAGTACAACGTATGTAATATCTAACAAAGAAAGAAATAATTTATACAAATGAATTGTGTAAAGTAGTATATATACTATATTATATATTTGATTATAATAAATCCATTAGGCACATACGAGTGCAAAATTGATTGATCCATGTAGTATCTTGACTTGGTAGGTTTGGATTATAAAATCTGGCTGGTACAAATTTATAAATTTAAGATTTCTGATTTGGAGTGTAGAACATTTTTCATAATAAATATTTATGTACTTAGTTAAAAATTTGTGTGGCGTGGATAGATAGGTAGAAATTATTGAAGATTGCAAATTTTGTCACGAGAAACCTAGAAAATAACATTTAAGAAAAAGCACTAAGGATTATTTTAAGAAAATTCTGTTTTGTAAGATTTTCTTACTATTATTTCAATTGTTAATTGAAAGTTGTAGATAAGTATATTTATAATGTAGGTACCTTTAACACCTATGTGCCACAGGTACCCCGCTACCCTCCCGTAATACACATTGACGTAGAAACTCATCATAATAATTGATATAAATACAAAATTACCAATAGGTAATTCCTGTGATGGTATTCTAAACGTACCTATCTTTCAAACGAAGACTCGTAAATTTATTTTTTAAAATATTGGTAATATTCATGGTATCACGATGGATTCGAAGTGATAATTACCTACCCATGGAAACCTAAAAATCTTTATAATATCCTATTTTAATCCTTTAAATTGATTTACATTATCTATAGCTAGAGCTGTGAGTATGCTGCTTGCTAACAACTCAGACTTGGAAGTGTTCTGCAGACAAAAAAATTTTAGCTTTTTGAACATTGATCAATTATGGTAAATTAAGTTTAATTATATGTACATTTTATTTGCTCTTTTTTTTCGTTTGTTGTTTATATTGTATTTTTTACATTGCACTGAATAAAATATTTTTCTTTCTTCTTTCTTTCAGAGTGCTCTATCTCCAATTGGCTACAATTACAGGCATTTAATACATATTTGTTATAACAATATCTACATATAAGTCATGAATTCATCTAATTAATTCACATAATACCTAACTACTTCATATTATTCTCCTCATTTCTCTAGATATGTAATGAATTATACTTCGCGTGTAGCGGCTCGTTGTGGAGATAGCTGACCCTTCTGCTCTCGTAGAAAACTGTATTTAGTCAAACTGGATACATAATTAATCTAATAGTGATTGTAGGTACAATTGTAAATAACCGTAAAATAGTTATATTTTTTTATATTTTATTATTATTTTGAATGGAGCTGTTCGTCACGGAGTTACGATATAGTTATATTTGTATTTCATTTTTGTTTTCGTTAAAAGCAAAACTAGGCTAATATGCATTTTAAAATAAACCTATTGTCGTATACATATAGGATTATTTTTAGGGAATATTACCCAGGACTATGTTATTGTACGAAATTATATAAGAAGCTACACCATGAGAATATGACTTTTTGGATCAATCCCACAAATGATGTGCTTTAGTAGGTATTTACGTAGTTGTAAGTCTTTGATTATATTTTCAAAGCACTAGTGTCTATTGGGTGAACTTAATTAATTAATTTTAATTGCTAACTATAACCTTGTATTTATAAATCCTTGTCTTTGCTCAAATTGAAACCGAGTCCGTTCCTAGTACTGCACAATTTAATTTCATTCACACTTGTACAAACTTGTCATTTTGCGCTAACTCTATTATACTTAGCAATTTAAGAGTGGAAAACTCAATTTTAGAGTTGAACTACGTTGTGAAATTTTGCATATCTTGTATCTCTTTTTCTCTCTATTCCAGGCCTAGCCTGAATTAGAAAATTGTGATTTACTTAGATGCCTTTAGCACGGTGGCATTTGTAGTTGATTAGTATCTAAGTAATTACAGATTGTACGGCCGAGGAGAGGATAGATGCTGGAGCTAAAGGATGGGAGTGAAATGGAGAATAGATTCAACCAATCAAATGTTTTACAAAATATAGCATTTTTTGTACCAAATATTAGAAAAAAATATTAAGAATTAGAAAAAGACACAAATTTTCTGTACGTAGATACCTACCAAACAGTGTATTTATATATATAAGGAGGTACTTAATATAGGTACTAATTACTTTTATTTGGAGAGGATTTTATTTTTCTTCTCAATGGCAAAATAACGAAAGTTGCGGATGGTCCGTAGGTCTGCATATGATTTGAGCGGTACTTGATATGATTCGGTGTCAAAAGAAGTATAAAAGTGACAAATTTACTTTGCTCTTAAGTGTTATTACTTACCTCACGACTCGGCCAGACAATCCTATTTTTTAATTATTATAAAACGCTGCCACTGTAGCTTTGTTATGAAATTGTCGTCAGATTATATGGTCATTATATATACAGAAATTATTATGTACAAATTGATGTACTGTACATCACAAGTTACACAAATTTATGTACCTAACTCTACCATCATATCTGTAATCAGTAGTTTATTTTGCAAGCTGTAAAACTTGTTCCGGCTTAAAAGGCAGAAAATTACATGGTATGGAGGCATAACAACAATTTAGTCAACATAGCCGTTATAGGATGATGTGATGTCCGTAGTGCTATTCATGAAGGTAAATAGACGACTATTGCCAGCTTTTTCATCAATTATATAAAAGAAAGGAAATGGAGAATTAAAAGGTGAAATTATTTCAATTTTATAAGATATTGAAATAAATAATTGTAGAATAAATAAAGGTAGAATGGTACAATGTTGGTATATTAATAAAGAAAGAAAGTATTGCTCGAACTCGCCTTTTACGATTTTTATTTGTCATAGATAATATTCCACTGAATTCCCGATTTAGATGCATTACTTTATAATTAAAAAATGAAAGCAATAAATTTTATGGGTATCTATTTTGTGATCACGTAAAAACTTGGAGATCATAATTATAATTACTGCAATGTACCTATATTTTTAATAAAAAAATATACTTATTTAAATATTACGTTTCATTTCCTACTTTTCAAACCCATATACAATGTAATATATATTATACAATAATATAAATTATATTGAATAAAAACAAATTTATTTGTTATATCAATATGTATTTTGTTATGTAGTACTTAAAAACTTGGAGCTAAAATATTTCAATTAATATCTAACATTTTTTATATCATACTCTTTTTCAACAATGTTCCAGACAAAACTGCTCTATCACTTGCTGCTTTTTTCACTATTTCATTTACAAAAATAATTTTATTTATATTTGAGAGAATTAAATAAATATAAACTCTATATTACAGTGACTTATTACTCGAATTGATTAAAATGTTTATAATTTTGTGTCAGGATAATGACCATTTGTACCTAAATAGGCAGGTATATGATCCTGTCGCAAAATCTATATCAATTACTATTCACAAGTTTAAAGCCGAGGCAAAACGAAACTGTGCGATCATAATAATCACTTACAGCAAGCACATAGCTCAATAACATTAATAGCGTCTTCGAAACAACGAGCAACTTGTCACGTATGTTTTTTTTATATCCAAATAACGAGATAAATTAACCCAATTGGGTTGATTGGGTTTGGCTTAATACAAGCCTGCCAACCTTCAGGTACATAGTCTTAGCTACTACAAAACAGAGTATATTGTACTCTATTGACACATATTCTGACATTTGGCACAAAGTTAGCTAGCTTTAAAAAGAAACCAACAATTTTTCTGATTTAATATATACGGAAGTGCGGATTTTACAGTTTTGTACAGATATCTCCAACTCTATACATACCTAAATGACTATTCCCATTCAAAAATTCTTACCATTTGAGAAATAACTAAATTACCTATTTCAGATGAACACGCCTGTGTTCATCTGAAATAGGTAATTTAGTTTTTTAATAATAATAATAATTTTTTATTTAATTTATTTTGCACTTATTTTCATCTTTCAACACAGGGAAGGCGATTTGGGTCTAGTTAATTTATAAAACAAATATTTTTTCTATTTCTTAATAGAGTTAATATACAGCATAACTCTTTATTTACCATGTTAATCCTTTATTTTTAAAAATTACGGCAGCGGCTAATATACCTCGTTATAAATGAAAAAAAACACTAAATATATATTATTACATTACAAGTTGCTTGATACATCGGAGCGGTGCAATTATAAAGATTCGTCGAGTCGATTCGAGTCGTGATAGTTTCTAATAGTTATCTATAGTTTTCAGGGTGAATTTACAGAAAGATACGTCTACAATATCTAGTATAAGTACTTACAATTTAATACACTTTTTTGCCTCCATCTTGTTACCTAGAGTCATTTTTTTCTAAATAGGTAAGCTTTTCACAATTACCTACATTGTTTAATAATATTACAAAATGTGATCTTTCGTAATACACTTATACTAAATTTAATTGAAAAATTTAAACTTCCAACGTAGAAGGTTAATTTTTCACTTAATACTTAGTACCTACTTCAAATACAAGCTGACGCATTGCAAAAACTCCCCATTAGGGCACTTGTGTTGCAAATTTTGCAATGGTTAAACTATCGAATTTCCTAATCAGCTCCATTAGTTTGGCCCCGGCTTTCAGATTCATAATTGACAAAAAGTATAACATAACTGTCAATGAAACAATGGCAATTAACATTTATCTAGTTTAGAACAAATAATATGTATAGGTACGTACATTTAACAAGTAGTTACTTAAATATATTAAAAAATAGTTCACAATTACATACAATCTAAAATAGAAAATGCAGTATAATAAAATTAGGCTGAAACGTCTGTATCCAAGCTTAGTGGATGCATTTAAAAATGAATAATGATCTGAATTCCTCTGTTCATTATGACACGTAGATACAAAATTAATGTCCAAATATTATACTTCTCTGGGTACCTAAGTAGATACCCACTATGTATATATTATACTTAGATTTTAAATACTTACATAAATACAGTAATTTTGTTACTAATCTCTTAAACATTTTCATACGCATTACCAGTGGTTTGATTAAGAAATAGAGTTCCGGTAGTTCTCATTTGAAATTAGAATTGCCAGATTTTGATTATGTAGATCCTATTTGGCAGTTGCAGTTGCAACCGTATAATTATTTATAGCTTGAACTATTAAATTGTTATATCAATTTCAACAATTAAACAAACAAAATTATTTATAATTCGTTTCATAATCAAGATATGATGGCACGTGGATAAATAGATAATTCCGTTTAGATGCGTCTGTTGGTCCTATGTCCAGAACTCACCGACCGATATTAAAAATCGAATCGAATGTAACTAGTTTTAGTCTCTCAGTTTAATCAGATTTTTAATGGTGTTAATTAAAACTGGCATTAGACTGACATAAACACAGACATGTTCTAAAAATGGTAACTTTAAATCCACTATAAACGTTATCGCTTTTTTTAAACGTTACCGTAAGTTTTATGTACAAATTTATGGACTCTGCCTAGAATCTTTCACAAATTTTATGATAATTATAACAAGTAAATAAAAAGTAGGTATATCAATAATTCCATAGAAAATACATGTTAAATAAAATATACAATTATAAGCCATGCGCTACAGGAGATCAATTTGTGTGAGAATGTGTAGGCATGAATTCTTGTAGACAATATTTGCAAATACACAATCGACTCTAAGTAGGTACCTACTCACTTCACTCTCATTTGTACCAAATATTTAGTCACTGATCAATAGGTACTCATATCAAAATAGCGTTTCTATCAAGTGTACCGTTAGGACTGGACGGCGAAGCGGAGGCAGCTGAATATTCACTACGGATTGCTACGACAAAATGGCAAGGCTTTCGTATTCCACATTAGAGGATAATTATTCCGGTTAAATTCGACTTTGGTAATATTATACGTCGTGATATGGACTTCAAGCTCCAAAAATGTGTAACTTTCATAATTCTAACTTTGTACAATTACTGTGAATAAATTTTCTGGGAACACAGATAAATCGCAAACTCTAACATTTTCAATCGTTCATTACCAAGTAGAATATTATATTTAACTGTCACGTTGCAAGGTAAAATTATATTTATTTATTACCGTTAAAAAGGAAAGTGTTCTTACATATAATTTATTTGTGGGCAATGCATACCAGGACTTCCATTGTTTTTATCAGTTGTCTGTCTAGGTCCGGTAATTTTAAGTTAAAATGTCACCTATTTTTCTTTCCTTTTTGGTGTATATTTTCATTTACAGAATAGATCGATTTCTGATTAGTAAGAATGAATAATTACCTACCAGTTATATTTTCAGCCAAATTACAATAAATCCAACATTTTCAAACAATATAAATATTATGTTGCCAGTGCGCGTCTCAGTTTACTAGTTTTGTTCTATTTTAGATAACATTTAGGCACTAAGGAGGTATACATCGGCCCGATGGCATAAGGCAGCGATTATAGCCGAGACGTGCCAGTCTTTGCTAAAATAATTATAGGAGATCAACAAGACACTTTTGATCTTTACAATCAACTCTATAACCGCATTCCCGTTAATGGTAAAGACGCGATAGGTGAACAGTCCTGTCGAACAAAAAGAAGTAGGTATGTTATCTACAAGAAAAATAGGCTTAATCATCATCTTAGCAAAGACTAAAATTAAACTACAATTACATTGATTGTAGAGTTAATATAGGTAATTCAGAATAATTTTGAATGAAACATGTAGGTATTATTAAATTAAAATACAAAATGGTATTTTAAATTCAACTTTTTCTTTCTACATTCGAACTGTGTTTAGCTTGCATGATTTCTCTGCATTAATATTATATCGGCTAGGGCAACATTATTCGTGCTATGAGTAGTAGTTTCTATTATATATATGGCGAAGTGTGGCAACTAATTTAAAAAATTATTGTTTCAAGGAACTTCGGACCAACTTGTATGACACTTTATAAATAGAACAAAGAGGAAAGACTTAGATCAAAATATATTATGTTTTTATATAACTTAAATAAATAATCTTATAAAACACTTAATGATACAGCTATAAAAATATTAACGTAACATACGTGAAGTTAGTTCCACAGTATGAAATGAAGTAAGTATTTAAATTATTATAATCTATATAATAAAGTTCCATCAATAAGTATCTACTTGAATACTATTAATAGTTAATTACATATATTCAAATTTTTTCTCGCTTTATTCGTTTTTGTTTGCAACATTGGGCAGCCATTTTGTATTCCTTAATTTGGATGTTTGTAAATATTCATAAAAACTTCTGAAAATAACTATACATAAATTTTATTTGTTACTATTTTCAGTGTTAATTTATTACGCACTTAATTCGGTGCGTAATAATATAAATGTGGTAGATTATTCAAATACAGAATATTAATTATACTAAGAGGTAATTCATAAATAACTAACAAAAACTAAATAAAAACATTCAGGAATATTTTTTCACATAGATGTAAAGCGAAAAATGCTCGTGTCATTGTGCAAATTGCTAACATAAAATAATAATAAAATATCTATTTCTGGCACAACAATCCAAATACCTCATGCCTGTTATCTCTTACTAAGGATTCATTGAAATTCGTCGTCGGAGCTGAGTAACGTAGTTTTCTCGTGGTAGTTGGTTGCGTGGCTGATGGTCGCAACACGTTGAGGCACGGGGCGCGGTGCTAGGGCTGCGCCCTCCTCGCCAGGCTTCCCTGTCCCTGCACCACCTCGCATCACTATTTTTAATTAAGCAGTATAATATATTAATTGGATTGTATTTATAGGATAGGTTACCCTTTCTAAGCGGTTGTACATAAAATACCTAAGTGTTACGAAATTGTAAAAAACGTGTTTTATGGTCGTGTGTGTTAAATATTTTTTCGGTAGACATATGTTTATATATGATAATTGGTTGTGGTTCCTACATACCTATATACAATAAATATAATATTATATTTATAGGGTTAGTTATAACGGCTATACCAAACAAAAACCAGAAATTGAAAAATTTACATAAAGAAGCAAAGTAGAAATATGGCAATATTTTTTTAAACTATGCAGATAATTGATGTATTAGTATGGTCGATCGGAAGGATAGATGTCGTGGATGACCGTTACAGATTCCTGGAACGCACATAAATAGGTTGAGTGGGTTTTAAGATAAATGACACATCTTACAGTTTTATACAATAACAATTTTATAGATTCTACTGAATAGAATTAAAATTAAATCAACTTACGAAAATGTCTAATATCACTCTTTACAATATAATTTCCACTTCCTTTCTTGATGAAAGTGATTCAGTGTCATTGGTATTTCTGGCTCTTGGCTATGTATATCCTTTAGAACTAACGTTGTATACGCTTGGAGTCTTAAGTGGAAACGCGGTGTAAAGTTATAGCGCTTATTTAACTATTGTGCGTATAAACTGTGCATTGTTCTATAATATGGTATATATACACACATAAAACATATACTTCAATTATACTGTATATATTTAATTATTTATTGATTATTATATTATTAAAAATAGTTAAGAATCTCTATAACCATGATACATACTGGGTACGTTGGTCTGTTTACAACCGACGAAATATAAGAATGGATAAAAAGTTGTCATAAACGATTGGAATGTATATAGATACTCCAGAAGGAACCTGGCATGGTTAAAACTTTAAATACTTGCATAGAATGGCAAGCTATAACATACATAACGGACTAAACATACCACATTAGATGTAAAAAATGCATTATAAATCAGAATAGACTGACTGTTGTTTGTTCTGACCCTAATATCTATATGTTGCTGTGAATACAATGTATATGTAATTAAACATTTTTAGTTATAAAATACCAAATGACTATTTTTTATATCTGCAGAAAATCAATCAAAAAATTACACGCTACATGAAGTAGTATAGTTCAACTACAGTTACAATGTATTGTGCATTTTCTACAAAAATAAATTAAAAAGGTTTAATATTACTAATTATTACCGTCATGTACCTATTATGCCATATTTTTTCCGTATGGTAAACAAAATTATCCGCTATATTTATAAAAACACATGACAGATTCATACAAATTGCACATATGGAAGCATGCTGCAAAAAATGAATAAGAAGCGAGTCATTCCATTATTATTACATATTTAACTTACCTTTAATTAATAGTAATTATTCCCTGCGTACGGTCACGTAGATTGTGTTCATGTATTTCGTTCTTATTATATACGCAGGATACATTTCAGAGAATTAACTACTAGTATCTAAAATATACCGAGCCTGTATAATAGATATTTAGTATCTTCCAGCGACAAATAAGTAAAAATTTACAAAATTTTATTTAACTATATAAATATTTTATAAAATTATATCAATATATCATAATTTATATAACAATAATTTGAAGCCAATAAGTGGTTTAATATTTTCATTTTTTTAGCTTCTACTTAGTATAAAAATAAAGGCAATATTTGTATATATAAAATTATTTATTAGTGAGAGGTAAAGTACAAGGTGTTTTAAATTCGTTATCTAATCAAGAAATAAACTTAACTAAATCAATTACTACATTATTGAAGTGCAAACAACGGGGGCAGTGTGGTAAATTCGTTTCCTGAATGTTACTTTCTTAAATAAAAAATACGGGAATACAGGCTGAAATAAACATTTTACTTCTATTAAAACTATACAGAAATAACTGAAATGAATAAATCCGGTTTCTACGTCCCTACCTTAATATCTCCCCCAACTTTACACATCAACTGAAAACTTAATTATAATTTTTAATAAAAGTTATAAAACGTACACTAATAAATATTATATACATTATTATTGCAAGATGAAGTAGATGCAATTTATTGGCCCTACAGATTGCTGACAGCGATTTTCAGTAAAAAAATATTACTATATCTTTAATAAACGCAAAGTTCGCGTATCAAAAAGCGCATATATACATTATTCCTCGACATTCTGCATCGTGTTGTCTAACGAACAAACATAAAATGCCGCTCTTTGGTTTTGTAATAAATACAATTAAACAAAAATATTACTGAATCAAATATACTGTTTAAAAGGTAACAACCTGATACATGCCTTTATAGGTTCGTACGAAATATAATTTAGGTTAGTAACTAAACACAAAGTAAATTTAAAATTATCTAGCTTTCATCTAAGGATTTCATCCGCTAACTATAAGACAAATAACAAAAATTATACAAAAAAAAAAGAATAAAATCACAGAAAACGAAACATTTACATAGGTACTTGTAACATATAACTATGCCGATAATGGGTATGGTCCTTTATTAATAAAATTAGAATAGTGTTTAACTTTTATGATATTAAACTATAATTATAATATTCTCAAAGAATATTTGTTATCGTAATGTTTAAATTTGCCTTTAGATTAATTATAACACTAATAATCTCATGATTATACAACATTCCGATGAATATTCTGATGATTTTGATGATATAGGTTTATGAACGAGTATGTAATATCTTTTCAGGATAACTCTATAAATGTTTTACATAACCAATAAGTAATCTTATGTGGACCAAAGCTATTACCGGTATTTTCAATATACAAAATACTTAATTATAGGGCAATGTATAGTCCGAACAATCATACAATAAAACTTTGTAAACAAATGTGTATTTCAAAAAAATAACTGCAGAGCATTATCCGAAAAAAAAAGGATTACTATAATGTTAATTTTTTTAACGACACAAGTAATCAAATAAATATATAAAGTCTGTAGACAAACGTTTTGTCCTATGTATACATGCTCTATATATGTAAGTTTCTATTCTATAACAAAAATATGCTTGAATTATTAATTTAAATTTCTTTTTTTAAGAAAATATCAAACGAAAACAGTATCAATGAATGACCTTCGCCATACTACTACTACAACAAGGCATTATGAATAACGCAGTAAGAACGAAATGCAGTTTCGAGGAAATGAAAGAGAATAAATGCTAAGTGTGTAACTGCATGAGTTTTGATCAGCGATTTGGTAGATCATTCTATAATAAAAACGTATCATCCTATGAGTATGAATTATTTGAATAATGCTCTCATATTATTGAATTCTGTATTATGTTTCGGACTAGACATATACCTTGATACTAAATATAATAATGAAAAAAAAATCTTATATTAATGAACAGTTCCGAGGCCGAGCACCGAAAGCCAAATCACAAATTAATTGTTTATGATTTTTTATTTATTTCAAGGCACTAATTATTATTCACTAATATATATGACAGATTTTTACTAAGAATAAAAATTACATTTTGTAATTTAACCTCTGGATGATTAATATGATGACTTGATTTATACAGGGTTGCCAAACGTACGTAGATCCTCATACCAATACGAGATTGTTGGCTTTTGTACGAGGATATTTTCACCCCCACACAAGTATGTACTAGAATTTGAACTACGTAAATTAGTCAAAATACTATTATGTACAAGGTTAAAGAGCGTAATGTAATGTGTGAGATTTAATGTTTTTTTTCTTTATATGTGGATAAGTGTTTTAAGGTTGGCAACCCTGGATGTATTGCAAATCATTGTTAGTGGTGTTTCCATGCTCGGGCAATATGGACAGTTTATTATATACGTAACGAACAGACATCAATGCACTTCATGCAGAGCACACGTATGGCAGAGCTTATAGTTTCTCATAAGGCAGTTGAGAAGTAACATCTGAAAGAAAGTAAAATAAAAAAAAATAAGAGGGTCCTAACTAATGAGTTCATAGATCGCAACAATTATAATAGTAATTAACTTTAAATGTGTGATAAACTATGTAAATATAATAAAAATAGAAACAACCTATATTTTGGTAAGCTTGCCTAATTTAACTTAGGTAACGTAATAAACTAATTGTCTGTGCGACTAAATAACTAACAAACAGCGATAATATCTATAACTTCTAAAGTCATCTTAAATATAGTCTTGGCAGTGTAAGGCAACTTTTATTTCATAAATAATGTATATTGTGTCAAAAAAAATACAAAAATTATTATCACAATATAAGCTATCAAGTCAATGATATATATAATATTTAATTATTGTTTAAGCTTCCTTTTCTATTATAAACATTTAATATCTGCAGGGAACTTATTAAATATTTTAATTATTTGGTAGTGGGGTAAGTGAAAAGTAGATATTTTGTTAATAACAATTCAATAATTATACATAATTAATAATATCCTGAACTAGTTATATCAACTCAGATATAGAATCTATTCTTAAATATTACATTACTATATACATAGTCACAAATACAATAAGGACTATAATACGTACTACTACGTTTTAGTAAATAGTTTGGTTTCCTACTACAAGTGCAGGTTTTTTTAATCTAATTCAATGTAATGTAAGTTTTCGGTCCTGAGCATTGGATTGAGTTTACTACCTCAGAATAGCAATCTGTCAGCAAACAAAATGTGAGCAGGCAGCGAATGAAATCATGCAATATGTCAGCGGAAACTACCATGTGGGTACTCACCAGAGCTGTATTGAGTGTACTGTTGGTACTGCGGGTGAAAATTGTGGAACGCGTCCGTCATTATATCCTTGGGATTCATCGTCTCCTGCAAAAATAATTATGGCCATTTTATTCATATCAGTACTATGATAATAAGAACACTTTGGCTGTTATTTGCGACTACCTCTGATATTCTTAGATAAAAACTAGCTTATGTCGGTTTTAGTGATAAAATCTATCTTCCCGTCACACATTAGGACATGTTTAATCGTGAACAGAAGAAAGACAAAAGAACCGTGACTTTGCTATATTAGCATGTAAAAATATAACATGTCATAGACATATAGCTTCGCGCCATAGGCAGAAAAAGCCATGGCATTGAATTCTAACACTACACAACGCGAATTCTAACAAGTCTTGCTTGACTACTTCTTATAAGTTGTCCTAGATATATAAACAAATGATGGTTACTTTGTTAAAATGTAGTTTAACACAGGAACCGGCGTAAATTCATTTAATCCGCAATGTAAATAAATATAGTGAGCGGTTATGGGTCCAGTTCGCAGTAGTTTCTGTCGACCAGAGGCTGGTTTCAATACAGAATTACTACCATTGACTTATAATAGACAAATACATAATCTTTCTTTATACACTAATGCAATGCCAATTCGGTGTACTAGTATGTCACGTCTGTTATCGTGTGTCGTACCTTGAGGCTGCTGGAGATGGACTGCATGGTGACGGAGCGGTGCGGGTCGCGGCGAGCGAGCGCGTAGGGCGCGGCCGGGAACGCGTACCGCAGCGCGATGGCGGCCGCCAGCATCTCGATACAGATCAGGAAGTTCTGGTAGCCCGCCGACACCGTACCGGCCGACGTCGGCTGCTCGTTCTCGCCCATTATCGGCGAGATCACCTCCGCCTTCTCGAGAATGGCAAGGGCTACACCTGGAGATAAAATATTTTTATTAAAGATATTATAAATACATATATATGTATTATTCCACTATACATAAGTAACGAGCTTATGTATATGGACGTAAACTGTAAATCAGGAAATACAATCCTTAGTAAGATACGTAATATAAAAAATTTTAATTGACCTACACCAACAATGCAAGTCAGCTGAATCTTACAATAGGCACTCTAACCAAATATATTTACATATATGATTATCAGTGACATATTCCGTAAATAATTTTAACATGCATTTATCAAAATTAGTCATTAAAAAGTAATTCAGACATAAAGATAATCATGAACGATAACAGATAATCTATAAACACACATAACCCTTAGATTTTTTTTGTTATATTTATTTTTTCCTAATAGAATAGTTATTCACTGACCCAATGGTAAGTAGTAACCTTCGCCTAAGTAATTCAACAGGATGATATCATTATATTATGTATGTTATCCTGTAATTTCAATGCCTTGTTTTTGATGCTTCAACCGATACACAGCTTACGAAACAAGCTGCTTGGCATGGCTGAAATAGGTCAGCCTGCGGTACTCTACGCCTTGCATCCCATCTAATGTACAAATGTTAACAATCATGTAGTCTCAAGCCACGCTTAATAATTGACCCACTGTTTAAGCATTGCACCTTTTAAATTCATTGCTGTGTAAGGTCCAAGATGCTGACGCCTATGGAACTATCTTTCCTTATCTAATAAATACAATTAGAATGTACCTGTCCTTATAAAGTAGTAGTAAAATAATAGTTTTAAGATATAAACGTATTGGCAATTAGTTGTAAATTTATATTGTATTAATTTAATAAATAAATTCATAAATTACCTTGCCAAAACGAGAGGAAGATAACGGATTTGACAGTGAAAAACTTGAGCACTGGGTCGAAGGGTTTGAGCATCTCCCTGGTGGCACCGAGGAACAGGAACAGCCCGTAGAGCGCCAGACTCACAGAGAAGTTGTACACGATCGTTATGTATATGTACCCGCCGCTGATGCTCCAATCGCCGTCATGATATTTGCCTGCAGCCTGAAACAGTAATTTTTAATATATAATAACAAAGCGGTAATATTCACTGCACGAGTGTACCAGAATGGCAGCCAGTGGAGACAAATAAGGAGCACTGCGGATAACATCAGCCTCTTACCCCACTACATAACAATCTGTCAAGAATGTATCAAATGAGAAAAAGAATAACAAAGTAAAAAATAACAGTTATAGGTATAATCAACAGTAGATTTTGTGATGAACGCAACATTTGATTTCGCACGGTATATTTTGAATTCAACGCATCTCCACAGGACTAAGCATAGGCAGAAAGGTAAGGCAGAGTACAGCGCTTCGAGAAGAGAACAAAATACATGAATATCAAAAATCTATCTAAATAACAGCGAGAAGTAGTATTAGTAATTTTGTCACAATTTACAACAGTAATTTATTACGACCTAATATATTTTATCATTTGCATATCTTATTCACTATAGTATGTCTTATCTTAATATCATTGTACGGCTGTGATTACGTTTAAATTATTTATCATGTTACTATTACTGATTCGATTGTACGCAATAATTGCCTATAAAGATATTAGTCACGTTTTAGTTATCAATTTATCAGCGAATTCAATTGTCTGCAACTAAAACCGTAATAATTTTACTAAGACTAACATTTATAACGTTATTAAATATCTATCTAATAAACATACAATCGTATCAACATACGTATGTTGCATATATGTAGGTATATAATAAAAACACGAATTAATAAACAACATACATCTAAAATTACTTTTTAATTTAAAATAACGAGGGAGATTCTACAAAGCCGTTTGCATGAGTGTCATCTATTTGTGCCTACAAGTAGCTTACTTCAAACGTGTTATCTTAAGATTGGTATAGTTTAAGCGTACTATTGTAGTATATTTTAAGCGTACCATTTCTTATAGGGTCTAGATTTAATTTCTTTTTGTATTGTAGACTTTTTGTCCACACTACGTGTTTTTTGTTTAGATTACAGATAACGGTACGATGGAAACCAACCAAAAATGGACAAGTCTTTAGATTAATAAAGTATAAAAAAAGTGTTAATAAGGGTGTCTTCAGACCACATTGGATTTTGCCACGTCAGTGTTGTTCGTATCTTGAAACGAGACTCACCTCTTCCAACCAGCTACATAAAAAGATAGAAAAAGGAACTTTATAGAAATTTTACCTGTAAAAATATGATGATGAACGCACAAAGTGGCTTGACAAGACAGAACTGTAAGGTAGCCTGTTTGCAGAAACGGAGGAATCCGATAGTATAGGTGGCGCCTGAGAGGCAGCACGTTCCATTGACACACGAGGCGCGCACGGGCCGCCCTCGAAGCTCCGACATTATGTTCCCTTCGCCACCGAGATACTCGTAGCAAAGTGATAGGAAACTGTAGATCACGAAGGCTGAAACACGTGTAAAATTATACGTTTCAATATACATACACATATAAAATAGATATTTCAATGTAAGTTTGTACAAGTCACATATCGACGGCCTCGGTGGTCTAGCGTTTTAGCTCACCGCTTTACTTCCGAGGGTCGCGGGTTCGATTCCTCGCACGATCCTTTCATTTTAAATACTTTACAATACATTTATTTTTCGTGTGTAACTAATTTATTAAAACCTATAAATGTATCGATTAGAAATAGAAATAAATAGAAATAGAAATAATCTTTATTCAAATAAACTCATTACAAGCACTTTTGAATAGTCATATTTTGATTCTACCACTCATTCGGAATGCAGATTCATCACAAGAAGAATGAGCAAGAAACTTGTGTGTTGCTCTTTTTAATAGATGTTTTTTTTTTATATAAATAATTACAGTATAACAAGTAAGAGGCATGCGATAATCAACATAGAAGTCGCTACGCACTCATTATTAATGTAATCAGATAATATTGTCAGTGCTATAGATTTAAAGTTTTTCTATAAAAACATTATTATTGGTGCGGCGGTGGCTATGATCTAGCCTTCTTCGATGGACTATATTGTTGTATAGGAAACTGGCTGGTCGTATATGAATGACTTACCCTACTTCAATGTGCTTGTTCTTCAGTGGGCCCACACGGTTACGGGAATCTCAGGAATTCACTCAGGTTGATTACAACTATTAAGACATGCGTGCGATATGAGTGCGACGTGCGCGCGCGGCGAAAGCTATGACATCACTGATTATTGAATTAGCCGGGAGGGGTGTCAATGCACATCAACAAACCAGGTACGCATCGCGTTTGGCGTAACCATGCCCCCCGCCTTGACATAATGTCAAAGTAAAATTAACAAAAGAAAAAAAAATAAAGGAACTACACAATTGAACCTTATTGCGAATGCGACAAATACAAAAAACAAGAAAGAAAAAATACAAAAAATATCAAATGCGGAATTTACTAAATAAGAAAAATGCAAAGGATTTTAACTTAATTTATTAACCTATTATAAATGCGTACTACCTATCTTATAGAATACATATTATTGCAAAGGCAATGGACATATGCGGTGCGTTAGGAGGGATAAGGGTCCACTTAATTCCATTGTTAGCTAATTCCTTATCCCAAACAGATCTACATTCTTGCGATAAAAACAAATAAAGTTCACGTAGGTAGGATCGTGCCCCTATAAAATTAGTACCATGATCCGTATACATGCATTGAATAGGACCGCGGCGAGCGAGAAAACGTTTTAACGCGGCGAGAAAACAAACTGTACTCAATTCACTTGCGAGCTCAATATGAACAGCCCGAGTGGTTAAGCACGTGAATAAGCAAACGTATGCTTTGCGAGTGGTTATACCACGACCGCGATAAGGGGTTACAAAAAACGGACCTGCGAAATCACAGCCACAATGGACAAAGGCTTTAGGAACTTCCTTCACCCTTAGTGCAGGCAGATCACCCATCGGTGGGAATGTAGGACGCGGTTTATTGCGGAAACAAATATTACAATTAGCTACGATCGTGCGAATCATACGTCGAGCTGCGAGAATCCAATATTTAGTACGTAATATTGACATTAACAATTCTGGGCCTGTATGCAGGTTTTTACGATGAAAGTGTGTTACAATTAATTGAACTATATGATCTCTGCCCGGAAGTAATATAGGGTGTTTATAATCGAAATCTTCATCAGAATGAGTCAGACGACCACCAACTCTTAAGAGATTGTCTGATAAAAATGGATTTAATTTAATTATTGATGCGGTACAAGGTTTTTTATTATTTAACTTGCTAATATCGTTTTTAAAATGAAACCCCTGCACAGCGCGAATAATTATACGTTCGGCGAAATCCAAATCGGAACTGGATATGACGCCGCGTGGAAGAATGTTAGCGAACTTATAAATATAACAAATTACACGAAGTAATTTCATCCATGACGAAAATTTGCGAGCGAGCGAATATAAATAAGGTTCCATAGAATCTTCAATGGTAACCAGTGCGATAGGGTTTTTATTTCCTTCATCGGAAGCTAACTGAGCTACAGTACGTAACGCTAAGTACGGGCTGCAACGTAAGCCAAATGCAACTTTATTAAATTCAAAGACTTGGAGCGGTTTATTAGGACTAAATCTATATACAATACGTTGAAAACAACGATCTTGCGGGCGAACTTTTATTCGTAAATACATTTGTCGCACATCAGCTGAGATGGCGACTGCGAACAATCTCATATTCAAGAGAATAATAAATAAATCCTGTTGTAAGGAAGGACCTGTATGTAGAATATCATTAAGCGAAAATCCAGTACTAGACTTCGCGCTTGCGTCTAGTACCGGCCTTATTTTCGTGGACACTTTGTCGTCACGTAAGACTGCGTGATGCGGTATAAAATAACTAGGGCTGTTATTTTCAATTACGTCTACGGGAGAAATATATTGTTTTTCTATACATTCGTGAATTACCTCATCATAAAGGTATTTCAGTTGCGGTTGCGATGCGAATTTACGTTCCAAATGATAAAATCTGCGTTTAGCGATATCGAAAGAGTTCCCTAAAGACTTAGAACTATACTTAAATGGTAAAGCGACTTCGTAGTGACCTGATTCGTTACGAGTGGTCGTTGTGGTATAAAAATCTTCACAGTATTTATCGTCTATACTTGTTATTGGTTTGCGATCTACTTCTTCAATCTCCCAAAATTTGCGAATTAATACTGAAACCTCGCACGAAGTGGTGGAACAGAACGAGAATGAAGAAGACGTAGAAGTTAAGGTGGGAGCTTCACCTAAAATAAGATAACCGAGAACAGTCTCCAACGCGTTTGGAGTACCAGGTGAATTTATAATTTTACCTCCAGACAAAAGGGTCGCGAATAGATTGACACCAATCAAAAGGTCAATTTCTGATGGTGTTCCCCACGTATCATCTGCGAGCGGAATATTAGTTAAGTAACTGAGCGCGCCAACATCAATTTGACATGTTGGTAAGTTACCTGTTATTTTATTCAAAACTAAAGCGCGAATATTATAATATTGCTCATGATTAAATCTCGATCGGAAAGAGAGATCAACTGCACCCTTAACTGGTTCAGTGGCGCCACCTATACCCTTAACGGTGGTATGTGCGTCCGGCTGCATGGTTAAACCCAATTTTAAACAACACTTAGAAGTAATATAATGCTTTTGTGACCCGGGGTCCAATAAGCAGCGAATGACAACATCACTCCCATTACGAGCAGTAGCAAATACCTTGGCAGTAGCAAGTACTTCAGTCACATACGGCTGCTCATGAATGGACGATGAAAGCGTGCATAACGACTCCTTGTCTCCACCAGTGGTGGTTTCAATAGGAACGGGAGTTGGTTCTAATCGTGTCTGTTGTGTGGGTTGTGTGTGCGCAAGCGGAGGCAATTGCGACGAAGAAGATGGTGGTAATTGGCGACCTTGCGTAGAAGATGTCTGTGCGTTTTTCGTACCCTGAGATACTTGCGTAGGTGCGGAATTATTATTTTTAAAACAAAGCAACGTATGATGTCTCGGATTGTTACAATTTCGACAGGCGGAAGTTGATTGACAACTGAAAGAGTTATGTTGACTACTTAGACATCTAGTACACATACGGTTAGTTTTAATATAATTAAATCGATCATTAATTGTGAAAGTTGAAAATTGTTTACATTTATATAATTGAGAATGTGAATCACCTTTACATAAGGAACAATAAATGCGTTGCGTAGGATTAGTACCTAAAAATGTACGTGGCGATCGAGCGATCGATCGTTGATGCGACTGTGCACGACCACTGGCGGACGCGGCGGCGGGACCGTCCAACTTGGTGGCGGCAGCGGCGCCGGCGGTGCGGTTACACGTGCGTTGTAATATTTTTACGTGTTGACGTATAAATTTTATAAAATTTTCAAACTGCGGTATGTCATCTTCTCCTCTAATTGATGACTCATACGACTGCGCGGTAGCCTGATCTAATGCCTTTAATCCCATATAAATAAATATAAAATCATCCAGCTTTTCAATTTTAAGTTGCTTTAATGCTGCGATAGTCGACGAGAAAGTATCAATAAATTTTTCTAAGTTTATTGCCGAAGGACCGTTAATTGATTTTAAAGAAAATAATTTATCTAAATATGACGTTGCAAGAGAGCGTTTATCTTGATACTTGTCGATTAAAGCTTGCCACAATATAGGATAATTTTCGGCTGCTGGTACTAAGCCAGCACACAGATTTCTAGCCTTTCCTGACAGGTGACTCATAAGATAATGAAAACGTTCTGAGTCCGAAAAGGATTCATTGTCATGAATAACCTGTTTGAATGTTTCGTAAAAGAAAGGAAATTCTAAAATATCACCTGAGAAGACTGGTAACACAATTTGGGGGATCCTTACTGATCCCTGTTTGTTGTCTGGTAAAGCAGACTGACAAGCGGGAGCTGGAGTTCGCGAAGATTGAGGTTGTAACGAGACCGCCATCATCTTTATAGAATAAAACATTTCGTCAAAAGCGGTGAGAGATTGATAATTAACTACATAATCAGGGTTTAGTTCCAAATTAAGGAGAATAATTTCATCGACAATTTTAACATACTCGGTGCGCATTTGATCGATCAGGCTAACTTTTGCAATAAAAACATTACGATGTTTCTCCATTTTAGTTTTCGAAGATAATTCATAAATAGACTGAAGTTGCGAAAAATATTGTGCACGTTTTGCTTCATACATTTTTAATTTTGCGTTTGTGTTAGCCATTATTATTATTTATATATATACTTCTTAAAAAATAACAAAGGAAAACCAATAAATGCGATATATAAAACTATGTGCGGTAATAACGTACAACTATACCTGTACTACCGTAAAAGTGCGAGCGATAAACAATAATAACGTATAATAGGTATTTAATGTACTAAATACCTACAAGACAGACAGATGTACTTGTAGCGAAAATAAGTA